GGCTTCGGCGAATGGGGCGGCATAAAAATGTTTTAATAAATAAATAATAAATAAAACTAGGAAGGATAAGTTTATCAGTATCAGTCAAGGTTACTTGTCATGAAAGCTATATTGCAGTATCAGAGGAAGTATGTTTCTGTATATCTGTTACTTGGAAACATGACCAGGATGTTTCTATTGTATTTACATCCTATTTGTGGGTTTTCCACAAGCTGCTGGTATATAGAATGTTGGCTAGATGAACCCACAGGTTTTTTTTACAGTATAAACAAATTAGAAAATAGAAACACAACTTTCCTGCTTAATGGGTGCTTCAGCTACCAGAACTTCCAGTTTTAAGTCATTGGAAATATTCCATCATTCTCTCCCTAATGGAGTTTTTGTGGACAGAAAAAAAAAAAAAACACTAAAGATTGTTGGGGAATGTTACAAATGGGAGGCAATGTTATCTGGATTTCCCATAAAATTTTGTGTATGAGGCAGGGGTACTGTATGATAAAACCTCATCCTGTAGTGCCCCTTATCTGTCCTTGTGCTAAGTATTGTTCTAGAAGATATTCTGTTTCTAATGTCATACCTTTAGCCTTATCTGCATTTTAAAAACTATGTTAAAGAGAATGTGTTTAACTAGTTTCAGTGCAATATATTCTGTTCTAAAGTAGCAACAGAATTTCATTTTTAGATCCAAACCATCAGTCTGTCTTAAGTTTTGTATGAAATGGCAACCTTTGTCCACAAGCTACAGATCTGTAGGTGGTTAGTAACACTTGTGAAGCAAGTTCTGGCTTTACTGAAAATACTAGAGGATTGTCTACACCAGAGTACCCTGCATCAAATGGATTGCTAGGCCTTTGTGAGCGCTTTTACTAGCACAGAAAGATTTGGTACTTTATTTATTACATTTTTATACCACCTAATAGCTGAAGCTCTCCAGGCAGTTTAAATGGTTAAAATTGCAGTACAAAACAGAAGTACAAAGCAGAATATGTGAAATGCAGTATAGGGTTTGAATTGGCCTAGAACTAGAATTCCTGGGAGAATTCTTGGGAAAATAAGAAGGCAGGCACCAGAAAGAGTACAATATAGATTCAGACAAGCCTCCCTGGGAAATTCATTCCACAGATGGGGTGCAACTACAGAAAAGGCCCTTTTCTTAGTAGCTTAAGCCTGCTTCTTATTGCCTGTATCAACAAGCTTAAGAGCCTTGTGGGGGAGTCCTTGTTGGCTTCCCATGAGCACTTGATGGGCAGCCAACAGTGTGAACAGAATTCTAGGCCGAATCGGCCTTTGCTTGGATCGTATGTTTCTTGGTCATGTGCTTCTCCACCAGTGCTTTTTCCCAGCATTCCTACATTTCCTTGCTCAGCAAGCCGTCCCGTCACTAAAGGGCTTGTGACAGGCTGAACCAGGAGCTGGGACAAATAGCACAAAGTATGTCAGAATGTTTTGGTAATGTCCCTAATAACACTGAGTTGTTTAATGTTTTCAGATTCAGAAGGAAACCTGTGTAAAAACTCCCAGCTGCTGAAGGTATTACTGACCATGCACCGACTTATCATCTCTTCCACTGAGATGCTGCGAAAACTAATAGACTTATATCCTTTTAAACACTGGCAGTAAATGTATTAATAATACAGAACCTATGATAGCCAATGGATTAATGTCAGAATTGGCCAATGTCAGATTTGCTGAAGAAAGAACAGCCTTAAAGCTCCTTTAGGAAATTTTAGCTTACAGATTTAGGGTTACAAAGCACCCCGTTGCCTTGTTGCTTTCCTCCACCAGTATCTGTTGTTTGCTGTCAGGGGCATGTGAGGAGTAAAGAGCAAAGTGTGAGATTGCTAAAATGCACAAATTTCTAGGCAGAGCAGGGACTGAGGGGGCAAGATATGCAAATTTCAAGCAGACAAATGAGACAGATAACTAAAATACTAAAAATTTAATGTCAGAATGGAAAAATGGACAAGGACATTCCACATATTGCAAGACAGGGCAGTGAAATTGAGGTAGATATTCACACAAAATGTCTCACATCAGACATTTACTCCTACACGTTTGCGCAGGACCAAAAATAAATTAGTAAATTAATAATAAGAATTTATCCTTAAATATCCTAACAAATAGGCCTTTTCTGCTTCATTATCAAAGGTTCTTTTTTCCTTTGCAAAGTTAGCCAAACCACTTCTTAATACTTTCAATTCCTTTTTTGAATTAAATTGTTACACAGTTTGCTGATGATTTTTCTTCCTTTTCCTCCAGAAGCTTTAATTAATGTTAATTTTCTGATCATTCATTTGATGATTTTATACTTCTGTTGCCTTAACTCTACAACCAGTTTGTTCTTTGCTCTTCTGCTTTCGATATCAAAACAGTGCTTATATTTTAATTTGTTTATATTGAAGTATGGGCCTCTTCATGATAGTATGTACAGTTAGATGGTGTGAAGTAGGCTCTGACCAACATGCCTTTCCACTTCCTTCTCCAGGTTTAGCACATGTACAAGATAATGTGTGGTAGTGCTGAGTGATCTCATAGTTCGTTGAATCAGAATCTTGCTGCTTGCAATTTTCTTCTTTGTGAGATGAATGCTGTGGGTAGGAATTGGTCTGTGTTGTTTTTGCATTTATTCACTCGTAAATCTATTCTGACGGATTTCTGTATTAATCTGCGTTTTTCTAAAAGAAAAACCTGTGATTAATATCAATATTTAAATATTTTTTAAAATGCAGTTTCTCTCACATTTGCATTTTTAAGCTGGGAATTGCATTGGAACATTGGGAAAGTACTTAGGTATCTAAATTGCACTACACACATTAATATGGGAGGTTCAAATCATATTGGACTTCACAAAAATCAGGTTCTTCTGGCAACTTAGGAAGATGTATGTGAACTTGAGGCTAGTTCCTAATCACAACATATGTAGGAATAATTATGGCCAAAAATCTCGAGATGAAGATGCAAGGTGTTCATGTCTTCAGTTTGTGTTTGATCTCCTACTGCAATGTTATGAAGTATTTTTATACAATTTGCTTCCTGATTCAGATTAACCTACTGTTGCAAAATATTTGAGTTGATAAGGTTTGTGTAAAGCAAATTGGGATTTCAGGGAATTTTAAGTGATAATTTAAGAGATAAAGGACTGCCAGAATCTAAAGTTCATTCTCTAATCTATGCAATATTTCACAGTATTGTATTGTATCCATTCATGTGGTTATGCAAGAATACATTAAAATACATTGAAACCAAATATTTCTTGGCTTCTGTTACTGTTTCATTTAGTATCACTTTCTACGCTCTCAAGGACATTCTGATAGAAGCTAAAATGTACCCTCTCAAGGACATTCTGATAGAAGCTAAAATGGATGTATTTCACATCATTTGACCTTCAGGGGTTAGGAGACATGCAACTATTCTGCCTATTTTAAATGTATTTTTCACAGTAAGAAAGAAGCAAGCACAGAAAGCTGGGGTGGGGTTGGTGTTTACTAGCTGAGGACCTGAATGAGACAGGATGGTAATGGGATAAAAGCCTCTTCCCGAAGTAGCTTTTGTCTTTATTTTCAATATATCCTTCAGACAGAAATCAAATGTGTTTTAATAACACCCTGGACATGATCCAGCCAATTTTAAGTTCTTTCATGTCCCATTGATTTCAGTGGGAGAGAGGTAAGCCTATGCTTAACTTTGGCTGGATTATATGTCTTATTTCATTCAGCACTGTGTTTTGATCTTGCATAAAATGCTTTTTGAGCCATTCATGAAATATAAAAACATTCCAGAATATCTGAATTAGTAGTAGTGTTTCCATTTTATCAGGCACTTAACTGTATTGTTTGTTTGTGATAAAGTGGCAGTTTGTAATAAAGATAGTTCTGACTGGAGAGTACTTAGAGTTTTAGACTGGAGAGTTTTCCTGATTACTTACTTACTTACTTATTTATTTATTTATCTGATTAATTTATTTCCACCAAAAATGGTGCTCATGTATTTTATTCTGTATTTGCCTATTCTGTTAGCTGCTCTACCTTTCAAAAGTTTTTAGGGCTTTTTTTTTGGCGGGGAGGTAATAATATTTATTAGCTCAGTAGCCCTTTAAGTTGCTTTATCTGTAAGTTTTTTTTTCAGGTAAGATTTAAGGAGCTTATTTCTCTTGCCTTTTGATACATTTTCCTTAGCAGTGGCCTACATATCTAGATGCCTTCGAAAATAATTCTTCTTTGATTTGCTGTAAGATATGTTACCTGGTAAGGTAAGAACTCTTTTCCCTTTTTAACAGATAAGTTCTTAAGTAAAGTACATGATAATTTTTTGTTGGTGTTTATCAAACTTCATGGAACAAGGCATGATGAAATGTTTAGGATCCTTTCATAGGGAAATACATAGATTGTGCAGTTGCTGTTTGTCTGTTGTAACAGATCCAGACATGTTCTTTCTAGAATATTGCAGGGAAACTGCTTTCTCCAAGCCTCATAAAGCTGTAATTGAGAAATGCAATTCTTCAATTAAAATTGTGATTATGACTAGTTTGTAAATTGCGGTTATAAGAGAAAAACAGCACCTAAATGGTCTAGAAGAAGACAAGACCAGCTACTTTCATTCATAAAAACTTATTTAAGGTCTTGCTCTGGGTAGCACCACCTTTAGAAGCTGGATGAATAGTTACCAGAAATGGCCTTTTGTTGTTATGGTCCTCTAGCCATGGAAATTGCTCCCTAGGTATACTTGTCTGGTGTATGCATTGTGATCTTTTCAGTAACAGGACCTGTTTTTGGATTTTAGGATGTAGTGATTTAAGCTCATTGTAGTATGCATTTTTAATTGTTGAATATGAATAGTAAATTCTTTATAAGGTTGGTCTTATTGGAAAAATGGGGTGGAGATAGAGCTCTATAACAAACAAACAAGAAAACATGCTATAGCTCCAGTGACATTTTAGTCACAGATGATAAATCTTTAACTCTGCATGTCTGTACCAATTATGAACTTGTTGAAAAATCATTTTATTGATGTGGAGAATTCCACTCACATAATGCATTTTGTGCCCTCCCCTACTTTCTGTATCTCCTTGCACCCCATACAAATCTGTTCCTAAGGGTTGGAAAACCCTCACGAAGAGCATTGGATATAGTATGTGGGGACTACAACTGGAAGAAGGAATTGACAACACTCAAGGAACCCCTCTTGAGGAAATGCCTATTGTAGGGCATCTTTGGATCCAAACCATTGAGCTGGGTGTTAGCACTGGGTGCTGAGTGGATCCCAGTGGTTCATTAGCTCAGGTCTTAAGTGCTAAATCATAGAAAGGAGTTCTAAAGGCCAGGCATTAAATTGATGGAGTAGAATAAGCAATTGTGTGAAGAGCAGCCGTGAAGACTCTCTTCTGCTTCAAGACTACAGTGAGCACCAAGGGCTAAACCTCACATACACCTCATCGTGGTTGTTCTCAGGTTCTCCCTGCTACTGCAGCAGCTAATAGTGTCAGAGTTGCAACTGGTTTGGTACTACATTTAGAAATTCGATAAAGTGTGAAGGAAAAAAAACCAGTGTAGGTTCCCTCCCTTTCAGGATTTCTTTTCTATCCCCCCCCTCCTCTGCACCACCACTTTGAAGTTCTATGGATATCATACAGTTCGTTCTCCACCACTGAACCAGACAATTTGAAATCCAAAAAAATGGGGGAGGGGAGAAAAATGGGAGACTTCAATCCTAACCTTAATTGGGTATATGTTGTAGACACCAAATATCTAGGTAGAGAAAATCTTATTTCTCCCATTGATTCCAGTGAGACAAAAGTGTGACTAATGGCATGCAATCCATAAAGCACCCTTCTGGTTGAGGAATGCCGGGTGTTATAGGGAGTTTCTTTGTGTAAACATATAATTGTACCCTAGATTAGTCTTGATCCAATCCAGTATGTCAGAAAGTAGGTCTCTGGATTTTTTGGGCATCAGATCACACTATTCCTGTGCACTGATGACCCTGGCAAGGTGTCATACCTGTTGTCAGCCCAGCCCAGCCCAGCCCAGCCCAACCCTTCCCTTCTTGCCCTTAGACGCCAAAACACCAGTCAGTCTCTCTGCAGTGCAGATCTTTATTGACAAAGTAACTCTACATACCCTCTAGTAAGCTGAAAGATAAGCCTCTGGTTATGGAAAGAGTGTTGAATCCAAATGGAGAACTTCTCCCCAAACTGCAAACACGTTTCCTTGCAGTAATGCTGTGGGCTCCACCCTTGGGATGGCATCTGCTGGTGAAGGGCCAGCCAGCAAGACCCATGCAATCCCTATAACAGAGCAGCTTGTCTCCCTTGACACCATGTTATGGGGTCAGGAACTGGCCAGGGCAATGGCTTTCCCTCCTCTCCTTCTTGGGCACTTCCCATCTCTTCCAGAACACCTCTGCTTTCTTGGTTGGTTTGGGAACCTGTGGGCTATATATGAAGGTGCTTCTGCCATTCTCTGAGTCTCCAAAGCTCCCATTACTGAGTCTTCAATGTCTTGGGCAGAATCTAAGGCATGATAACTCTGGTGTGTCTGCCAAGAGTTGTGGTCTGCTTCACTCATGATAACACCTTCCTTCCCTTCAGAAGGCAATTCTTTTTTCTTGCTGAACCAGTATCCTTGCCCACAGGAAATTCTTTTCCTCTTTGGAAAAGGAATCTTTTAGGGGAGGCATGATGCAGGGACATCTGGGAATGGAAGTCTATCTGGAGAGTTACTTTTTTGCCCTTCCTGTCTCAGAATGCTGGTTTATGTAGACCTACCATGGGTGAGCTCCATGAATTCAGTGGGGCTCAACTTTTAATTAGACATGCATAAGTTTGTGTAAGTCATGGAACCAATGTAAGGGGAGCTGATTCATGATTTAATTTTTACTGATCACCAGAGTTTGATGCAAGGTGCAAATCTTGTCAAATTACTTTGAAACAGGGACCACGACTCTCAAGTAAGACATATAAAGAGAGGAGGAAAATAGCCCAGGAAATTAAAACCAGTCATATATTTAATTGCAAAAAGAAACATTTCCCAAGTTAAAAATGAAGTAGAAATCTTACGGTGGGGTTGGGAATACAGCTTCCAGCAAACTGCAAGTAACAAAGGAGTTGAAAAGCAAATTGCAGTATTTGAAAAATTATTTGAATATTGGAGCAGGAAGTCAGCTAGTGAAGCAGTTAAATGACAAATAAATACAAGTACAAACAGAACTGAAGTCAAGTTAAATAAAAGCTTGAGCAAAAACAAAAGCCACATGTGAAAAATTAAGCTAAATGGAGAGAATAAGTTCTGGCTGAGGTTGTACAATTTCCACACTTTAAACAAATTTTCATGGCTTCTTTTAGCCATGGTGATGGTGCAAATGAGGTCAGTGGAATGCTCAGACATCTGAACAAACCTGAAATATGTAGCTTGGAAGATAGCCAGTATAGCACCATTTTCACTTATTATTTTACATTTTGCAATAGGTAGAAGTTTCCATTTTAAGAGTGATGATAAAATTGTGAAGAAAATCTGTAAGTTGTATTTCTAGAGCCAAGAACTACAATTTATTGCTGCTTATGGTACACAGTTATACACAGAACTGAAAATACTATTTTTTGTCACCAACAGGTATTGGGTAAGAGAATTCTGGGTTATGTTCAAAACAGATGGCAGTCTTACAAACACAATGGAGGAATTTCAGGAATTGGTGAAAGCTAATGGTGAGGAGTTACACTGTCGTCTAATTGACACATCTCAAATGTGAGTGTCAAGGTCTTTAATATATTGGGAGAACACACATGCATTACTCTTAACCTTCCTGAAGCATAAGTGCTATAAATAATCCACGGTTATGAAATAATTCCTTTTCTCATGCAAGAGGGACAATGAAGGACTTCTGATCAAATCCCTAGGTACAATTCTCTGAGTAGTTCATGACATATCAATACCATCTGGTAGTGGATAATCTCTTCGATGTGTATGTATATCATTTGGGGTGGCCTTAAGTTTATTATAGGGTTTGTACCTCTATTTTGTTATTTGTCATGAGCACCTGGAGGTACTACATGCTAATGTGCACTGTACAAGATAGCTATTGAAATTGTATGGTCTTGGGATTTATTGTGTGCTTTATAGTATTTGTATTTTTAATGTATCTTTTGTATTTGATTAACTGTTGTGAACCAACCAGAAAACTTCAGCTTTTGGGTGGTATAGAAAAGCTGAATATACCAAATAAATAATGGTGGCTATATGCATTTTAAATGCATGGAGAGAGCTCCTTGTGACCAGTAATTGCTCAGATTTGCTTCTTTTTGGTGCAATAGCCATTTTTTACATGTGGTACAATAGCCATGCTATCTCTTTTGGGATAGGAGGCAGGGAACTATAATTGGATGGTAGAAGTTGCCAACTTCACACAACTAACTAGCATGTAAAGCTGTGTTCAAAAGTGAGTTCACATGTCATGACTCATGGCCCTGTGTGGTTTCCATGGTGCATGGTTTTTTGCCTGGATGTGCTTGATAGACAGGTAGTTTCTATGCTAGCATGGTTTCCTCCTTCCAGCTCCTGCAGCTCTTTCCAGGGGCTTCTATGGTAGCACTGTGGAAACTGAGTTGCTGGGTTCAGAGAAACCATTTGAAGCATGGAGACCATTGAAGTTATTTTTTATCATGGTTTCTAAACACCAAACATACTATAGAAACATAGAAACAGAGCGAGTCAGAAGGGGTCTCGTGGGCCATCTAGTCTGACCTCCGGCACCAGCCGGCTTCGCTCACGACATGCCCACCATGTGGACGTCAAGCCTATCCTTGAACAAGGATATGCCAGTGTTCAGACAGCGTGACAGACAAAACTGCTGTACTTTGTCATGTCGTACGAACCCACTCTGTGTGATTCAAAACCAAACCACTCTGCAGATTGCAGTCCTAAATTCAGTCATAGAAAAATTCTTAATATAGACGTTTCCTTCTGGTATTTTTTATAAAAGCAAGCCCCAGTGATTGGCTTAGGAACAACTACTGCATCATTGATGAAGTTAAGCAGATGTGGACCAGTTCAGACCTCGAAGAGAAAGCTATTGTGGGGAATACATGTAGAAACATATAGGAATATGCAATATTATAATGTGGGCATGTGAAGTCAAGATTTTACTATTCAATTTCAGTGAAACAATGGATAATAAACTGGACTCAATAAACAAGCAAACAAAAAAGCCAGCCTCAATAAATTATCACCCCACCTGCGAATACAAAACTCTTGGACTAAATGCTCATTTAATACTATCTGTAAGCTATGTTGAACTTGATATTTCAAACAAATTATTTAAAAATACATTATCACAGCAATGCTTTTTAAAGTGGTACAGTCATAATCATTTTCTGTTGAAGGACATATAAGAAATGTGGTTTCATAAAAAGCTACCTGTGAGTAGGCCTCAGTGAACTCAGTGGGACTTACAAGTAGGTATGCGTAGGATTTTACTGTCAGTTGTGGGCACTGCTTCTCTTTTCTGTTATAACATGCTTCTGCGAAGCCTACAATCTATAGTATGAGTCTTGGGTATACATATAGAGGGGCTTGTTAATGCTTTCCCTTCAAAGGTTTTTTCCTGTTTAAACACCTTCAACTCCCTCCACCACCACCAAAAAAGAAAAGAAAAGAAAAACCCACTCCAAAACAGAAACAAAGAAACAAACAACCCTGCAGAAGTGACCGTCTCATTTTTTTTGTATTTTTGCTTGATGCACTGCTTGTTATTTTAATTGGTTAAGTGTAAATCTATAAGAAGATTTACAAGGAGAGCCAGTGTGGTGCAATGGTTAAGAGCGCAGGACTGGGGCTTAGGCAGTCTGGGTTCTAGTCCCTGCTGTGCCATGGAGCCAGGGGTGACTTTGGGCTGCTCACACACTGTCAGCCCAGCCAACCTTAGAGGGTTGTTGTGAGAATAAGACTGAGAGCAGCTGGAAAAGAATGATGGAAGCTGCTTTGGATTTTTAAAAAAGGAAAAGGTAGGCGATTAATTGAATGAATGAATGAACAAGAAGATTACACTTAGCTGAAGTTCACATCTGGCAGTTTTCTTCTTGACAGAAAACTGTTTTATTTGTAATATTGTGTTTTGGTGGTTAGGTTATGCAGAAATGTCTGATTAGGCAGAAGGATAGTAAAATTACTAGTCATCTTAGCAGTCAAATATATGTAAACTTAGCATATGAGATTTACCTGTACGGCAGATAAAGAGTAATTATGATAGAATCATGTCATAGGATTATCAACAAGTATTTGTGTATTCATTAGCCCTCTTCAAGCATTATAAAACTCTAAAATTGGAAGGGGGGTGGGTTCCTGATTTCATGGAGCTCTGTAACTCTATTCAGCCAAATATAGTTACATTTCATTACAGAACTTCCCTGTCAACACAGGGAAGTCAGGGGTGGTGTGGGCAGAGTTGTCTGCTTTCCACACTTAGAGAAATTTGATCCATCAGAAGATGGTCATTGAAACCACAAGTACTAATTTCCTTTTTTTGCTTCTGTCTGAAGGAATAGGTAAGTAAATTCTGCTGCAGAAGTTAAAAATGCCACCTTTTTCTCCCTCTCTCTTTTAAGAAATGCCCGAGATTGGTCCAGAAAGATCACACAGCGGATAAAATCCAACAGCAGTAAGAAACGAAAAGTCTCATTGCTCTTTGATCATTTGGAACCAGAGGAGTTGTCAGATCACCTCACATATCTTGAATTCAAGTCCTTTCGACGAATATCAGTGAGCTGATTGCTTTTTATATTCAAACTATTTTGTTGAATAGGATGTGTATAGAGATGGTTTGGTTTTACACAGCTTAATAGATAGACTTGAAGCTTTGATGAATCACTGAGGAAAGAAGGAAGGCACTTTAACAAAATGAAAGTCTTGATGGTTTCTATCTAATTCCTATATTTCCTGGAACAAGGAAAGAGATGATAATGAATGCACATTGATAAACTCTAGTATGGAGCAGTAATATGTGATAACATATTTCTTTTTATTTCATATATTTTTGATGTTTCCCTCCATTTGAGATATGTCAATTTTGATTTAATTGAGAAACTTCAAATGGGGCACTAAGTATTGAAATAAAAAGAAATCAGAATATAGAATGACACAGCACAATCCTGCCTCTCAGGGTACTGTAGGATCCCATCATTTGAGGCTGGGAAAAAAAAAGCTCTGACCTTGAATGAGGGAATCTGATTGTGGATCTCCTCCACCTTCTCCACAGCCCTTCCAGTCACTGCAGAAAGTTCTGTGGTGGTTGCTCTACACATGTCAGAGAGAGGGAGAGGCAGGGGTGCAAGCCCTTCCTGGCAGCAACTATGTGGGCCCGGTTTATCTAGCAACAATTACAGCAGAGGAGAAGTGTAAGGGTGTGAAAACTTCTGTTATTCTTTCCCTCTTGCACAGGTCTTGCAAGCAAGGCCTTGGATGGCCACAGGCCTCTGACACTAGAGCGCATCCTCTGTCCATTGCCCATCAGTCTCTAGGATTGAAAGCCAAGTTATTCCTAAACCCACACCTTGCAAGGAAGTTGTTATGAAAGGTTTCCTTTCAACTACTGGGGTTTTGAAATGTTAAGCATTTTGTTTGGGGCAGCGTAGTAAGGATCGCTTGCTAAATGAAATATAAACTCGGAAGCTTTGGCCAAGTTTTGTTGCCACTAGTTAGAAAGAAAAGGAAATTATGCAGTGGTGGCTTTGCACTAGCCTAAAGTGCTTCTGTTCTTCCATTATTGCCAATCCCCACACCTGTTAGATGCTTCTTGTCTGTGTTCTGTACCGTTCTGGAGTGTCCCCTAGCCCTTAAGATCAATTTTTTAGGGTCTACAGGGGGAAGATGTGATTAATAGCAACAAACAATGACCCAGCTTGATGAGTGGAAATGCTTTCTAGTAATGGAGGTGTGGGGCATGTTCGACTCACAAAGGTTTCCTTCCTTACCTTGCTTCTTCTGCTACCTGTGTGGCATGTACAGGAGGCTCTTTTCAAGTCTATTTGCCATGTGGGAAATTCTTAGTTTCTTCATTCTTTTGCTTGAAAATGCCAAGCCATGTTACTTCAAAGCTGCAGAATCAGTCCCTGAGCAAAAAAGAACCAATATGCTCTTGCCTCTTGAGAATGGTTGTGGACACTCAGATGTAAATTTTGCAGTTTAGGGAACAAAGTGTAAAAGATCTCACTTAGTCATGCATCAGTGCTCTTTATTTTAAGCTCTAGGTCATGGCTTTCCTCCTGTGCTAAGTTAAAACCTAACAGTCTTGAAAACTGGAGTCATGTCTTATGTTCGTTCACACTGGTACCTGTAAGCAGGAAATGCATTTACTTTATATACACATACAGAGAGACACACTTATGTTTTGTATAATGCTTAGTACTTTGTCCTTAAAGTTAATAATATTTGGCCACAAGAAGGATAATGTCTTACAAACATCTCAGCTCCATTCAGCTGAATGAAGTAATACAGGCATAACCTAGTTTGATTCTGTTCTATCATGCATTTCAGAACAGTTTGAGCTACTCAAAATTATTTTCCTGCATGAGGACATAATACTAGGAGAACCATATATATTGCCGGTGTTCTGTACTTTGTCTTGTCTTTTCCCCCACCCCCTCCCCTCCTCCTCCTCTGCCTGCCTCCACCTCTGCCTACACCTTCTTTTCTTTTCTTTTTGCCCAGAGAGATTTGGCTGTTGGGTGATGTAGAAGTTAATTAAATAACTTTATGTATAATAAGACATGCCCTGCTTGTATCTGTAAAGCTGTGTGGCATGTAGATTGCTTTTCTGGAAGGTTCCACACCATTATTAAGATCTGGAGGGGAGATTACCAGATGATGCAAGACAACTACAGGTTAAGGGACTCTACATGTTACATGGAATTGTTTTATGGAACCATCATGCAGCCTTTAAAGAGTTTGTATTCTGATCTCAATCAGAAGTTATTTTCTGATTCATTTTCCAAGGTACTCCTAGTGTGAAGTTGCCTTGCTTCAGATTATATTTTGATTACTCTGTTTATGTTTCCATAAATGCTTATATAGAACATTTCAAATTATAGGAAATTATGTTAGACTTATGATAAAATCAAGGCATATGAGCCATAATTTCTCCAGTCAGAGGAGAATAAATGTTAATTTATCTCTGCTTCTTTTCCTGTTACTTTCTTGGAAGTTTCCGGATTACCAGAACTACATCATGAATGGCTGTGTGAAGGACAATCCAACAATGGAACGCTCAATTGCTCTTTGTAATGGTATTTCCCAGTGGGTACAACTAATGGTACTCAATAGACCAACACCACAGCTTCGAGCTGAAGTATTCATCAAATTCATTCATGTGGCCCAGGTCAGCTCAGATATAAATTGTTTGGTGATTGGTTTAGCTTTCCTTTAAAGCTATGGGTGCTGACATTGAATAGAATTTTTTGTTTTATTAATTGCATTTGAGCAATATTTGCAAGCTGCACTGTCGTTCTTCTGTCTCATTAAAATATACTAGAACAGAGATCTCAAGCTTATTGGTCAGTAAGTATATTTGAAACATTGGCAGAGTGTTGTGGTCACTCTCACAAAATGGCTGCAGTGATGTGTGCAGTTGGTCACAAAATATATCCCATTTCACATAGGACAAAATATTGAGAATTTTTAAAAGTAGCGTGCTCAAAAATTAATAAAAAGAGATGGAATTTGAGCTATAAAATAGGAAACTATTCTTTTGGAACTACATTTTTCTATTCCTACAGTAGTTTCACAGAAAGAAAATTTCCATATTAAATAGAAAATTTAAAATCTCATTGAGGCACTGTCTCTGTGCAGTGGTATTTGTTCAGCACAAACACTATGTGTATTTGTCATAAGCAGAAACTGAAAAACGATTGGTATTTATTCTTTTAACACAGAAACTTCATCAGCTGCAGAATTTCAACACATTAATGGCTGTGATAGGTGGTCTTTGTCACAGTTCAATTTCTAGACTTAAAGAAACAAGTTCTCATGTTCCTCATGACATTCATAAGGTTAGTTGCATTCTTCTGTATTTTGCTTATTTTACCATGTGTATACACTGATTTTTAGCTGTAAAAATTGTAATTCACATGAATAAAATCAGATGTATTAGCAGACAATATTGCTGTCAGAATGATTGATCCTAAAAGTTTACCCAGTTATATTTGTTACAAATAATGCTTAATTGGTTTATTTCAAAAAGTTTTCCTACTGTAGCTAATTTTGAAAAATAGAGGTTATCTGTAGATTGTATAACCCTCTGAAATAGACAGAAATAGAAAAAGTCTTCTGTGTTGCGGCCCCTAAATCTCTGGAATGTCATTCCCAGGGCATTCCCACCTCGCATCTTCACTACTTTCACTTCACCGCCCAGCATTGGCTGGGACTTTTTTTCTGTCTGAACATGTATACAATTACTCCTATAGGGGTCAGGTTAAAACCTTTCAGCAGGTATCTAGCCTTTAGTGTTCTGCTCTGATTATTAATTTTAGTGTTAGTGCCTTATGGTGGGATCCTATCTAGAAGCCTTAGGATTTTTCAGAGTTCCAGTGATAAGGTAGGAACATTTCTCTGACCTCATAGCTGGGGATCTGTGCTTGGATCCCACTTCCTAGCTGACTTGCCACTGGCATGGAAAGAGCCAAACCAGCTGCTTCTTTGGAACAACCTTGGAAGGGCTGCTTCCAAATACCAGAACCACCAAGATGAGATGCATCCTGGCACTGCCTCTGCCTCTGCCTCCATCTCTTCTACCTCCAAATACCTCATTTAGACTGATCTTCATCTCTGCATTTCTGTTGTCCTCCTCATATTAATCCTCCAAGTTCAGAAGATGATGGGTGTTCCAACTGGATTGTAACCTTAATGTCTTTAATATTTGTAAATGTTTTTGTAGTTCAATTTTGTATTATTTTTTATATTTTATTGAATTTTTGTTTGGTCATTTTGATTTCTTCTATGATTGTAAACTGCGCTGAGGGCACTTCCTGTTTGAGTGGCATAAAATAAAATAATAAATACAGGTAGGCCCCAGGTTACAAATGTCTAGGTTGCAAACAACCCATACTTATGAGCAAACTCCCATGAAGCCTATTAACTAAAAGTTACCACAAGAAATTGTCAACACCATAGAAAGATGGGAAGGGGAAGGGGACAGAGAGAAGCCTCCAAAGCAGGCCTTCCTGCCCATGCCCATCCAGAGAGGGAAATCTCTCTAGCATTTCCTTGCTGCAGAGAGGAGGCACTGATGAGTTTGGGTGGGGTGAGGACCTAGAGATATTCACAGTTTTTACACTTTATGGGGGTTCTGCACCCCCATGAATGTGGAGGGCCAACTATACTTGATCCAACTTACATACAAATTTGACTTAAAGTCAAATTTCCATTTTCTCAGGAACAGAACTTGTTTGTAACTTGGCATCTGCCTGTAAATAACATTTTAATGAAACACTAAACTGTATTGCGGCACTATCTTCTCCTATCTGGTTTCCTAAAGGATGTGCTGACTGGCAATGATAGAAGTTGTAATCAAACTGGAGGGCATCTGGTTGGGAGAGGCCGATTTACCATTACAAGAACTTGCTGCAGTGAACCTTGGGTTCAGTCACTTGTCTTTAACTCATTTCCTCCCCTGGTGGTACTGTGAAGAATTTGGGAGCATTCATTTCCATTTTTAGATTACCGCAGTTTAGAATATTGTGTGCAAGTGGCCAAATTCTGGTTTATCTTAACTGTGGTTAGTTGTAATAAGCCAACTTTAAAGCACAGTTGAAGAGGTTTGTTTCAACCAACTGCTTTGGATGAGAAACTGAATTATGGTTCATCTAAAATGGAAGTGGAAGCTTCCAGTCTCCTCCTCCATGCCTAAGGATAGAAGCATGGAGCATTTGAGCTCAAAATGTACACAAGTTTGTTGTTGTAATGCTGATCTATGGTTTAGCATTATGACCTAGTGCAGCTAGTATATTTGACTTAAAATTAGCCATAGGCATGCTGCATTAGTTCGTTCTTCTAAAGTTTGTTTAAAGTTCTAAACTGCTTGGTTCTAAAGTAATGATAAGCTTAGTAAATTAACTACTTTTGCTTCCATTTGTTTCCCTTTAAGGTATTCAGTGAAATGACAGAACTGCTGTCATCCTGTAGGAACTATGATAATTATCGGCGTGCATACAATGAGTGTAGCAACTTTAAGATCCCTATCCTTGGAGTACATCTGAAAGACTTGATTTCACTTTATGAAGCTATGCCCGATTACTTGGAAGAGAAAAAAGTTAATATACATAAATTGTATTCTTTATACAATCATGTCAACGAACTGATACAGCTTCAAGAAATCGGCCCTCCCCTGGAGGCTAACAAGGATCTTGTTCATCTCCTCACAGTAAGTCTCTGTATTTATAGACTATGTTTTACTCAAACCTGTTCATTCTGTGGAATTACATGTCATAAAGTTTCAACTGTTGAAGCAGGCTGGGAAATTTAAACCAGACAGGGTATTGTTTCCTGTAGGGTTTTGATCAATAATGCAAATAAGTGTTGTGAGCCGCCCCGAGGCTTCGGTGAATGGCATAGAAGTTCCCTAAATAAATAAGTAAGTAAGTAAGGCAAGTAAGCCTTTTGATTTCAGACAAAATAGCATAAACTGCTTTTCTGAACATGGTCAGGGGACAATGTGCTCATTTCCTTGAGTTTATAGGCCTACAATAATGACACTGAGAACTAAACATGTGGGACATCATCTGCACTGCTGCAGTAAGATTTGAATCTAAAGTTGCAATCCTGTGCATGTTGAGTTAGCAGTAAAATTCTGTAATTCCCAGCATCCCTCAGTTAACCACACAGGATGTTGCAGGATTTTGTTCTGTCTTAACATGCATAGGATTGCATCTTAATGCCAGTAAATCTTCATTCCCACCTCACTGTGATCCCAAGTTATTTTCTCTTTAGTTCTTAAAATGTTTGCTTCTCATTACATTTCAGCAAAATTAGGTTGACACATCAGGAATGAATAGTTTGGTGATATTTCACAAGTGTAAGTGTAAAGTCAGCTTAAGTGAAAACTACCATCTTTGTGTGAACTTAATTTTGGAAGTATGAATTACTTTTGCATTGGTTGGAATAAGAAATGACATTTTAAATGCCACTGGTGCCTCTTTTCCTCTCTCTCTCTCTCTCTGTGTGTGTGTGTGTGTGTACAGCTTAGCTTACCAGCTTAAAATATTATTTATACAATTCTATCAAAAAGCATAAAATTAGTGAAATAAACCAATTATTTTTGGCAGGTTTGGAGATAATAGATTTGTTATTGCATATTAATTGATAGCATTTTAATTTGCTTTGCATTGTTTTTACTTGGTATTTTATAGGCTGAAAAAGTATTTTTTTAAAAGAATGAATAAACAAACAGAACTAAAACAATAGTTTAGCATTGTGAAAACAAACTTGTTTCTCTGCTTCTGTTTTAGCTTTACCACAACTCGCTTATCTGTCTGAGCCTAGAGCAGTTGTGGTTAATCTTAACTATGGTTATTGGTCTAACCATATACTCTTGCTGAGCAAGAATTTAGGGTGTACGTTTTGCTGCTGGTTGGAGTCAAAGCTAAAAGTATATCCCTGCCCCTGCCTTTGCCCCTGTCCCTCATGCACACACACAGACTCCTACATCAACTGATCAACTGGAGTAGGGGAGGATATGGAGACGCTGAGGATTAAACCTTTCCACCCCTGCAATTTCTCTTACTCCCACATGGCTGGGAAGAAATCAGCTAGGGGGTGGGGAAAAGGGATATCTATTGTCACGTGTTTTCTGGTAGTTGAGCAGGTTTCCAGCCCTACTGAGCAGAATGTGGATGGGATAGATTAGAGGAAGGAGAACTTTAACTTCTCCATGATTTCCCCCACTAACCAGAATATACAGAACTGAACTGTACAGGGGAAGGAGATCACAGGGAGGAGAAAAGAATTGGTATGAGACCGACATGCTGGAACACATGTAGCAACTTGAGGCAAAAGGTAACTCATAAACATGAAAAAGGCTGAACCCTTTAGAGCAGTGGTTTTCAACCTTTCCATAGCTGGGGACTGATGAAAACAGTAACACCATCTTGGGGGCCACTGAGGCAGAAACAAAAAGCACCATGCACTTAATACAGTGTTTTGTGTATTAGTTTCCAAACACAGTACCAAGAGAGGGGAGGAGAAAGGAAAATCTCCAGAACAACCAGAAACTGAGCAACAAAATATGCCAGCAGAAGAGCAAAATACTGAACTAAGCATAGCATGGCTCCCAGCTGGCTCCTGCCGAGTTGTCTCTCCCTTCCCTGCACCCCCTCCCCCCAGCAGCACTCGTGCATCCCCTGCAAATGTGATGCCAACTGAGGAAGATGTGGTCAGCCCCTGTGCTGGTTTGCGGTGAGCAGGATACAGACACCCCTGTGGACAGGCAGGAAATTCTGCGGACCAGCACTGGTCTGTGAACCAGGGCCATTCTGCAGACCGGTGGTTGAAATCCACTGCTTTACAGTGTGCAAAATTCCTCCTATTTTGGCCTTTCATAGTAGTCAGGTAGTCCAGTATTATCCCTATAAGAATCACTGAATGTGATGCATACCTAAAATTTAGGTGCTTTATTTTGTAGAGGTTAAGTTCTCTTTTGAGGTTCCTGGGAACATGCATCTTAAGCCATGCAAGAGACTCACCTTGATCTAAAGAGAATAATTTGTATGTGAAAACAGGCTGTCAGATGTGTTTTACCAGCAACACAGATAATATTTTGTGGGGAATAAATCCCTGCATGGATTGCTTGTATATTCAAAGGGACATGGTTCTGTGGTTCTCGCAGTGCAGTCTGCACTGGGAGAGACTTTTGAATGAAATCTTTTCCTACCGACTGGATGGTACTGCAAGAGTAGGTGCCAATAAAAAAAGAACAACTGGACTTACCTTGGCTGTACTCTTACAGCTTTTGGGGCCATTTCTTGAAATTAAGATTTGTATGGATTAGTCCTGGAAAATGTGTTCATTTGTGTTGCTCTTTGTACCCAGGCCTCAATTTGTTATTGCTGTTATCTATCTTTTTAAATGGTTCTATGTCATATATTGAAAACTATTCTCCTTTTTATTTTTATTTATTTTTGCAAACAGGCAGACTGTATGTACACAAAAGACAATCTCAACAGAGATTCTGTAGCCTCTTGGAAAGTAAACTGTTCTTGTGCTTGTTTTCAGCTGTCCCTTGATCTTTATTATACAGAAGATGAAATTTATGAACTTTCTTATGCACGAGAGCCAAGAAATCACCGGGCTGCAGTAAGACTCTTTAATTCTTCTAAAGATAGTGTAAATTATAATTTGGAATTATAGTATAAAAGTATACATGCTTCTTTGCATTCAACCTAGATGTTACTTACTGTAAAATTAATTTATTAGATAAGTTATAGTTTCATTTCCATGTTGCTGTTCCACAAAAAATCATGTTTTTATGTATTGTAAGCCACGTTAAGCACAATTATGTTTCTGTTAAAAAAATAGCATCCATATATTTCAATTTGGTATTAACAATATTTCAGTTCTGTAATAGCTAAACAATCCAGTCAAAAACTGCAATTTAGCTTATTTTCTCAATAAATATCAGTAAGCACAAGTGCCTTAATTCAAGCAAACAAATAAAGATAGCAATATTGATTACTCAGGTAATGCAAATTCAGTCTAGAGCAGAGTTTAATAGGCCACTTAAATTCAGTTCAGTACCTTTTACTTTAGTAGCAATAATAAAATAAAATAAAATAAAATAAAATAGGTATTACATTAAAAAATGGGTCAGATAGCCCCTGTATATTCTCCCAGAGTAGCAGTAGTCTTTGGAGTTATCCTGCTGTCATCTGTGAGGCATACAAGGAATACTTTTGCCCACACAAGTGGCTGTTGAAACTACCCAATATCATAGTCCTTCAGAGACTGAACTTCCAAACTTAGGGCACTGATGGACTTTTGACTCCATTTCTTACTCATTCTGTGGGGACTGCGGGGACAGGGACGTTGCGGAGGTGTCCAGAAGGCAGCTCTCTTCCTCCAGACCTAGCTGTATTGTAATATTCACTGGAATAGGTGAATGGTTGAACTATTACATGCAACAGTTTCTATGTATGAATTAGTTATATATTGTCTGTTAGGTTTCTGTGCTGCCTGTTTGCTGAAGCCTTCTAGGCAGTTCATAAAGCAAAAATTAAAAGCATAATATACAAAAACATAGAAAATATAAACAGCCATAAATTTAAAGCAGAATAAAACTAATGTAGGAGCCAAGATAAAAGCCAGCAGCAATGCAAAGATCCAAAAATGTACTGACATAATTTTTAAAAAATGGAATTGCTAAAAATCCTCAGAAAATTGAAAATTCGTTACCTGGAAGACTACAGTGTCGGTACCACATGAGCCTCTCGCCTGGAGGTTATTCTACAACTTAGGTGCCACCACAGAAAAGGCTCTCTCTTTAATAGTCAACTGCCTCACCTTACTTGGAGGAGCACTTGGTGAAGGGCTTTTGAGGATGATTTTAGGGTCTGTGCAGGTATATACTTCATGAGACAATACTTCACAAGACTATTGCTGATACCAATAAAATGCAGGTCATCAACTATAGTTTTTTTCTATTCTTATTGAGAATAATATGCTAGTGGCACATAGCTAAGATATATACATTTTGTTGGGTCTCTCTGGAATGTTATATGCATCTAATATATGCCTGGTACTAAAAAAATAATGCTATTCTAAAACTTGTTGCAATAAACTGCTATTAGAGAGGAAGTACTGTGGAAGAATCCAACTGTGTCATTCTGCTAGTGCAAATGACATTATGCTAACATACACTAGTTCTGAACTAAACACAAGGGGAGAATCCAACTAATGGTACATTTGCACAGTCATGGTTACACAAATATATTGCATAATGAAAGGCTTTGGCAGAACTTTGTTGCGCTATTTGAGTTTGTGGGGTGATGCTTTCCTTGGTAACCAAACATCACCATTGCCTTTCTTGTAATAACACACAACAAAAATGGAATGTTCAAGGATATATCTCTAATTCTTATTTTAGCCTTTGACGCCATGTAAACCACCAGTAGTAGCAGACTGGGCCTCTGGCATAGCCCCAAAACCTGACCCAAAGATCATTAGTAAGCATGTTCAGAGAATGGTAGACGTAAGTAGCTCTTATTATTTTACCTTGTAAGTTTTATATTAATGACATTAATTTCTGTTTTGGCTCCAAGCTCATGATACATCCACACACTGAATGGTATTATTTTGAATATCTGGAGATGTGAGACTTTCCATGGGGTTGCTGATCACGTAGGTGTCTGTAATGTAGTATGGTGTAAAGAACTTAATACTGTTGTATGTCAGATGTGTGTTTTTTCTTATCTACATCTCTATTGTCCTCAGTACTATATATAGTTTGAAATTCATGATAAACAGGGAGGGTGAATACTGTGGAAGGGGGAAGTTGGTAGGTAGGACGTAAGGGAATTCATGAGTCATTGAAGGAGTGAAGAAAGAGGCTTAGGAAAAAAACCTAATAGCCACATTTTGTTGTGTTACCACTTATGTGCCAAGTTGTGTAAGCGCCATGGAGTCTTTACACCATGGCTGTACTAGTTGTGGCTCTTCAGATGTTTTGACCTATAACTCCCATCAACCCTAACAAGCATAGCCAATAGTGAAGAATAATGGGAGTTATAGGCCAAAACATCTAAAAGGCACATGTTTCCCACTCCTGTTTTAAACCTGGGAGTTAAGTATGGACTGGACAAATCTGCAGTAAGCGTGCAGTATATAAGAGCTAAATAGCAACACTATACAGCTTGCAGAGGTCACCTGCTCCATTGGCAGAATTGAGATGGCTCCATGACAGTCAAAAAAACTTGCTGGTAAAACATTGCAGGCTGTGTACTGACAGGAGGGTTGGGTCCTGGTTACCTGAAGGAGCGCTTGCATCCATATATGCCCAGCCGTCCCTTGAGATCGGTGGGGGAGGCCCTTCTCCGGGAACCTTCCATGAAAGAAATTAGGAGGGGGGGTACTCGGAGGAGGGCTTTCTCTGCGGTGGCGCCTAAGTTATGGAACGCGCAGAGGTCCGCCTGGCACCGTCGTTATTTGTTTTTCGGCGCCAGGCGAAGACCTTTTTATTCAAGCGGCATTTTAACTGTTAACATTATTGGTTTTATCTGGCCAGGGTGGCTTATTTTATACTGTATTGTTGTATTTTAATTTAATATTTATATTTTTAATTTATATTATAATTATTTTAACGTAATGATGTGAGCCGCCCCGAGGCTTCGGCGAATGGGGCGGCATAAAAATGTTTAAATAAATAAATAAATAAATAAATAAATAAATAAATAAATACTGCATTCTAAAGATGTGCCCACAATTTCTTTGCATTATTTAACACTGTAACAAACAAGGATTTGATTCCAAAACTTGAATCAGTATAAAGCATCACAATTTATTATTATTTTAATAAAAGCAAATGCTTTTTAAAAGCTAAAGTGATATTTTTAAAACAGGAGGTTAATCAGTTTAATTTGTTTCTGTTCAGTCAGTTTTCAAAAATTATGACCATGATCAGGATGGATACATTTCTCAGGAAGAATTTGAGAAGATTGCAGCAAGTTTTCCTTTCTCATTCTGCATAATGGACAAGGACAGGTGGGTACGCTGAAACTTTAATTATGCATTTACTTTAGCCTTTTAATAATTTTGTGAAGATGGCAAAATACCCCTCAATGAAAAGGGAATGGAAATTAAAATTACTTGAGTTACAGTGAAAATAGGGAAGTTATCTGACAGCTGTAGTTTGTCTTACATGTAGGGGTAACACTTCTTGGCGCTTACTTTGTATGTTTCAAAAAGCTGTGAAGAAATGTGTGCAAGCGGTCATGTGATCATCAATCCAGGTTGTCAGTTTTGAACTTAAGGAACCTGAAAACGCTGTAACAGAAGAAAAGCACTGCAATTGGGTGTGCTTAAGCTGGGACACTCAGAGCTGTCTGCTTCCAGTTTTCCCTAAAAGTCTGGTGACAGATCTTGTATGTAGCTTATGATCAAGTCAAGCATAATTTGTTACCAAATGTCTTGGGCTCTAGCTTCAGTATACTCCTTTCAAGGCTCTAATTTCATCATCCCTCTTTCAAATCAAGCTAAAATCTTCTACAATTCACTTGAGAGTTTGGGTCCAAGGTGGTAGCATGGCACTAACCAGGATGTTGACATCTCTGAAGGAATGTATTGCCACTGGTAGCTAGAAGTCCTGCTGCTGCTGCAGTTGACATTTTGCAGTAGCTGTGTTACCTGTACCACCTTTCACTGAAGTGGAGAACCTTTAATGAGGTTCTTGTCTCACAAATGCAACTTGATTGGTTGTTGACATGATTACTCCTAAGCACTCTTGTTTGGTGCTGCGGAGACTAAGGTGTACCCCGATTCTCTGATAAGTGCAGGGTAATGAATTGGCTTGGGAGACAGCTAGAGCTTAAGTGGTGTAAGACTTGTGAGTCTGATGGCATGTGTGAGAGTGCATGACCATGTGCACTGCATGGCACTGTGAGTACCCAAGAAGGCCTAGTGTACTACTTTGGTTACATTCTTAAGGAGCCATCCAGTTGAGCCTTTCTGGGTAGTTCAGTGCATGTTGTCACCACCCCCCAGTAACTGCTGTGTTGGAACGCGTTATGCTGGAGCTTTCAAAAGCCTCCTGTAATAATTTTGTTAGGTACTTTGAGGATAAAATTGCTCAGCTTCATGCAGACTTGAAAAACTGTGTGTAGTATCATATTTGGTTAGGTGTTCAATGCACCATCTAGTTCAGCTTTGTAGAATTAATATCAGTTTTTGCAGCATTAGTATGCAGACAAGATGCCTGTAGCTGTTTGGCCTATAACCTGCTCTCTTAACTCTTACCCATCCTGGCTTATTTAAGCTACTGGAATTGCCTGAGAAGATACAGGGAGTAGTGAATTCATCTCTGCATGATAAGAATGGTGCCCACCATTTTAAAGGAAATGATTCATCCACTCCTGAAAAACCCTCTAGGAATCCAGAGATTCCTGTCCAGTCACTAAGGTGCCTCCTCTGGGCACAATGTTTCAGAGGGTAATGGCTCAGCAATTACAGATATTCCGGGAAGTTATTGATATGTCCATTTCAGTCTGGTTTCAGGCCTTTATTTGAGACAGAATCAGATTCAGTTGCCTTCTTGCCAAAAAAAGAGAGACAGAGGAAAAGCATCTCTGTTGATCCTGTCTGATCTCTCAGCAGCTGTTTGATAATGTTAACCATGGCATTCTTTTAGGCCGTCTCTGAACTGGAAATAGGAGGCACTGTGCTGCAATGGTTCTGCTCTTGCTTGTAGGTGCTTCTAGAAAGTCATACCTTGGGACTGTGTCGTGACTTCATAGCCATTAAGCTATGGGGTGCTGCAGGGTAACATTTTGATCCCCATGCTATTTAGCATCTATATGAAGCCTGTGGTAGTGGTCATTAGGAGATCCCATGTTGTTCTGTAACATGCAAATTATGAGAGGCTGTTCATATTCTAAAATAGCGCCTGGATGCAATGATGGATTGGATGAGGGACAGCGACCTGACAGGGTGGAGCCTCTGTGGGTATACAGACCATTGGGGAATTCCCCTAGTCTAGATGGAGTTGCAGAGTTCCTCGGAAAGAATGGGTACAGTTTCAGCGTGGTCCTAGATTCACTCTTGACATTAGAGGCTGAAGTGGTTTCAGTGACACACAGAGCACCTATTACCAGTTCTGGCTGTAATATTAGCTGCATACTTTCCTCAACAGGAATAGTCCAGCTAATGTAGATCATTCATTGACAACCTCCCACTTATGAGGGGTGTTCAATGTATTCTCGGTATCGGGTTGATTTGCTATTGATGTGGGTTATTTAATTTTTTTCCCCCTGATTTATATCCTGCCCTTTTCCTACAAAGGGCTCAAGGCAGCTTACATCATTCTTCTCCTCCATCTTATCCCCACAACAACAACCCTGTGAGATAGGTTGGGCTGAGAGTCTGTGACTGGCCCAAAGTCACCCAGTTGCCCTTCTGCCCAACAGACTCCCTGCCTGAGCTGACGGAGATCGTCTCGGACCTGGTGTTGAGGACTCCCAGGATGTTGGTCCTGGGAGACTTCAACCTCCATGCCGAGACGGTTCTGACTGGGGCGGCTCAGGACTTCATGGCCTCCATGATGGCCATGGGGCTGTCTCAACACGTCAATGGCCCAACCCATGAATGTGGACACACTCTGGACCTGGTTTTCTCGACGGGGCAGGAAGAGGGTGATCTGAGGGTGAGGAACTTATGTTTGACGCCCTTGTCATGGTCAGATCACTTTCTCGTGAGGTTTGAGCACGAGAGCGGCCTTTCCCTCTGTAAGGGTACGGACCCGATTGTGCTGGTTCACCCCCGGAGTTGGATGGATCCTGATGGATTCCTGACGGCTCTGGGGGATTTTCCGGTTGATAAGGCTGGTGCTCCTGTTGAGGCCTTGGTTGAACTATGGAATGGGGAGGTGACCAGGGCTATTGACACGATCGCTCCTAAGCGTCCTCTCCCACCTGGCAGAGCCCGTTCATCTCCTTGGTACACACCTGAATTACGGGCGATGAAGCGGGTTGGGAGATGTCTAGAGCGTAGGTGGAGGAGATCATGGGATGAATCTGACCGAACACACTTAAGAGTCCACTATTGGGCCTATGCTGTGGCAGTGAGGGCGGCGAAGAAGAAATTCTTCTCCGCTTCCATTGCCTCCTCACAATGCCGTCTGGCGGAGCTCTTTCAGGTGGTGCAGGGGCTGGTAAATCCGGGCCCAAAGAGAGATCTGGTGCCACCCTTGAAGGCCCGCTGTGATGACTTTGCCAAGCATTTCAGGGAGAAAATCGCTCAGATTCATCACGAGCTGGACTCTACTATTGAATCAGATTCTACTGGGGAGGTGCCAATAACGCTGTCGAGTCCTCAATTGATGGATGAATTTCAGTTGTTGCAGCCTGATGATGTGGACAAGGTGCTTGGACAAGTATGTCCTACCACCTGCTTACTAGACCCTTGCCCATCTTGGCTACTCAAGAATGCCAAGGACGGGATTGTGACCTGGATCCTGGAGGTGGTCAATGCCTCTTTAAGAGATGGCCGGGTACCTGCCCCTTTAAAGGAGGCGGTAGTCTGGCCAGTCCTAAAGAAGGCATCCCTGGATCCAGAGGTGGTTGCCAATTATAGACCGGTGGCCAACATCCTGTTCTTGGGCAAGGTGCTAGAGCGGGTGGTGGCGGGACAACTCCAGGCACTCTTGGATGAAACTGATTATCTGGACCCATTTCAGTCCAGCTTCAGACCCGGATACGGTACTGAATCTGCCTTGGTCGCCCTGTACAATGACCTGTGCAGGAGAGAGACAGGGGGAGTGTGTCCCTGTTGATTCTCCTGGACCTCTCAGCAGCTTTTGATACCATCGACCATGGTATCCTTCTGGATAGGCTAGCGGGATTGGGAGTTGGAGGCACCGCTTGCGGTGGTTCCGCTCCTATCTCAATGGCTGATTCCAGAAGGTGGTGCTGGGGGACTATGGCTCTGAGCCATGGCAGTTATGCCATGGAGTTCTGCAGGGGTCCATTTTGTCCCCCTTGCTGTTTAACATCTACATGAAACCGCTGTGAGAGGTCATTAGGAGGTGTGGGCTGCGGAATCATCAGTACGCTAATGATACCCAGCTCTGCCTCTCGTTTTCCACCAATCCAGATGAGGCAGTGGCTGTACTGAACCGGTGCCTGGCCGAGGTAATGGGCTGGATGAGGGCCAATAAACTGAAGCTCAATCCAGACAAGACGGAGGTCCTGTTGGTGGGTGGCTCAGGCTTTGGGGTGGGGGACTTGGACCTTGTCCTTAATGGGGTTGCACTCCCTCTGAGGGACAGGGTTTGCAGCTTGGGAGTGCTCCTTGACCCTGAGCTGTCATTAGAAGCTCAGGTGATGGTGGTGGCGAGGAGCACCTTCCTTCAGCTTCGGCTGATTCATCAGCTGCATTCCTATCTGGAGAACGATTGCCTGGCGACAGTGACCCACACGTTGGTAACTTCCCGACTAGACTTCTGTAATGTGCTCTACGTGGGGCTACCCTTGAAGACGGTCCGGATACTTCAGTTGGTGCAAAATAGAGCTGCCAGGTTGCTGACGGGGACTGGGCATTGCTCTCATATAACCCCAGTTCTCCATCAGCTTCACTGGCTCCCTATTGAAGTTTGGGCCCAATTCAAGGTGTTGGTTATGACCTGTAAAGCCCTTAACAGCTTGGGACCTGGTTATCTAAAGGAACGTCTGCATCCATATATGCCCTCCCGCCCCCTACGATCGGCAGCGGATGCCGTTCTCCAGGAAACCTCCATGAATGATATTAGGAGGGTGAGTACCCAGAGGAGGGCCTTCTCTGTGGTGGCACCGCACCTATGGAATGCTTTATAAATTTATTATTGTATTTATAGATTTTAATATATATAGCTGAGATGGTACCAATTTTTAAATTATTAATTGTATCTTTTTATGAATGTGTGAGCCGCCCCGAGGCTTTGTTGCGATGAGGGCGGCATAGAAATGTTTTAAATAAATAAGTTGGCTCCATGGCCGAGCGGGGGCTAGTGCCCAGATCACCTGAGTCCGAGTCCCATGCTCTTAACCACTACACCACACTGGCTCTCAATAGCTAATGACACTATCTGAGGGTACACATGCAAAATTTCAAATAAGTGTGATCATTAGTTCCCTAGTAATCGTCAGTGAAAGACGACCACGATGACTGATGCGACAATGTTGAAGAAAACCGAGCACCACGCTGTGATTAAGTTCCTTACAAACAAGGAAAAAGTCGAAAAATCATTCACGAAGAGATGGTGGCCATTTGCCAGGACTCTGCACCTTCATTATCTACTGTTCAAAAGTGGTCAAGTGAATTTAAAAGGGGCAGAGAAAGCATTGAAGACGACCCTTGCTCAGGCGGGCCAGTTACTGCCACTATGAAAGAAAATGTGAAAAAAATTAGAAACGTTTATTGGAAGATGCCCGAATAAAAATCAAAATGTTAGCAGAGATGACAAACCTATCCATTGGTACCATATTTACTATTTTCATGACCATCTTAACCTTTCAAAGGGCTGTGCAAGATGGGTGCCATGAATGCTCATGGCGCTTCAGAAACAAGTGTGAGTCGAGTGCTGTAGGGAGTTTTTAGAGCTCTGTGGTGAAGATCCATCGAGTATTTTCGACTGAATTGTTACTGGAGATGAAACTTGGGTTCATCACTATGACCCTGAAAGTAAGCAGGAGTCCATGCAGTGGCATAAAAAAGGTGCTGACCCTCCGAAGAAATTCAAAGTCACTCCCATTGGCCGGAAAAATCATGGCCACAGTGGTTTGGGACTCAAAGGGAATTTTATTGATCGAGTACATGAAAAAAGGTGAAACCATAAACGCAGCATCTTGCGCAACCACTCTGCGTAATTTAAGAGAAGCAATTAAAGAAAAAAGGTGGGTAAAACTGCCCACAGGTGTATTGCTTCTTCACGACATTGCGCCTGTTCACACGGCGCGTGTTTTGAAGGCTGCTGTGCGAGACTGTGGTTTCAAAGAAATAAACCACTCACCCTATAGCCTGGACCAGTGACTACTACCTATTCCCGAATTTAAAAAAAGATCTTAGTGGAAAGCAGGTGGCAATTAACGCACATTTTTTAGACAAGGAGGAAGGGTACTTTTTACAGGGAATTGAAAAGTTAATTTCTAGATGTAACAAGTGTATTGAAGTTATGGGGATTACATTGAAGAATAAAAATTGTTTCAATTTATTATTCCTTTTTCTTCATGCTAATACCGAGGATACATTGAACGCCCCTCGTAGATTGTTGCAATGTACTTCATGTGGATCTGCCCTTTAGCTTCATCTGAAACCTGCAGCTGGTACAGAATGCGGCAGGCAGGATGCTGAGCAGAACATCTGACTTTGCACATATTGCATTGGTCTTGAAGCTACTGCAGTGGTTGGCCGTTAGCTACTGAGCCAGGTTTTAGGTACAAGTACTGAGCCAAGCATATAAAGCTTGGGACCAAGTTATCTGGCAGATAGTCTTCTCCAATACAGTCCTGTGTGATGATAAGATTATCAGAGGAAGCCTTGCTGGTTGTACCATGACTTGCAGAATGTAATCTTGCAGCAGCTCAGGAGTAGGCCTTCTCAGTTGGGGGCACCAACCTTATGGAATGATCTCCACCTGGTATTTAGGAAAAGCCAGTTGTAGCATGTCTGTGGTACCAGTTAAGTTTATTATTTATTACATTTATATCCTGCCTTTTTCTTCCTGCAAGGAACACAACCTGGCTTACATGATCTTTCTCCTTTTCAGTTTATCCTGTGAGGTAGGTCAGGCTGAAATTCCATGAGTGGCCCAAAGTCATACAGTAAGATTGACTTTGGGGACTGGAACCCAGTATGGGGACTGGAACCCAGATGTCCTGAGTCCCACTCCAACACACTAACCATTATGCCAGATTAGCTCTCAGTTAAAGAGAGCCATCTCTTTACTTCAGCCTTTTCTGAGTGAGTGTGCTGCCCAGGTTCTTTTTTAATTATGGTGCTGTGTTGGTTTTAATGTTTTGTCAAGGTTTATATTCATGTTCTAGCAGTTGTTATTTTTAATACATATCTAAATGCATTGGAATATTTTTAATTTTAATGTTTGTGATTAAAAAGGTAAGCCATCTGTAAATTGATAGAATCATCACCTTTATGTTCTGCTTGAAAGATGATACATGAGTCTTCCACCAAGAGTACTGGATGCCAGAGGGACTCCTGCTCCTTGTCAGGCATAAAGAGACAATGTCACTCAAGTTCTTTGGAGCAAATGTTCTGAATAATGCAAGAACTCAGCTGCAAACTCAGCATTGTACTGCTTTCTGTAATGGGCAAGCTTACATTATTAACAATACGAAGCTAGTGCTTTTGTCTCTGTTGGTGGAAATCATCCCATCAGACGGCTGGCTCTTGCCTTAGGTGTCAGTGCCCTTAGTATAGCCATAGTTTGGATCTTCATCTTCTGCAGGAAGAAAGACTGCAGAAAAAACATGAGGCTGCTTCTGGTTGCTTCCCTCTTTCCAACTCATGCTAGCATACTGGAGCAGTGGAATGGTGGGTTGGCACAGAGGCTGCTCACCTTGGAAGGGGAAACATCAGGGGATGCCGTAAAGATGAAAAGTTCACTAGTCCACTGCCTAGCATGTGTTTTTGTTTTGGAAAACTCAAACAGTGGGCAATTAATCTTGCTCTGCTCTGGAAATTATACTCAGTTTATACTCACACACTTCCAACTGAGATGTATGGATGGAAAAATTGTGGGTAGTCCCCTCTTGAAAAGAGCTGGCTGTTTTGAATCTGCTTTGGACTTAACCTGTCTGAGGGGAGTTTAGTACTTTGAGGAGAGGAATCATAAAACTAGGTTCATAATTGCTGGTTGTGATTGAAATGTATGTCTGGATGCTTTCTCATTTTAGTCCTAGATGTTATGAAGTGATGATTGTCAGTTTCCTTGGTTTTGCAGATTATTCTGTTCTTTGGTATGTATGCTGTTTCCATGGTCAGGGTCATATCTGGTCTGGATGGGATGCACAAATAGACTCGTACCTGACTTAGGCAATGTAGAAGATCCAAGTGGAGAAGTGGAGGTTTATCTGTAGGCGCAGGCTATGCAACTAAAGGTTGTTATGCTCCTTTTCAGATTGCCTGCCTACCAGCCACCAGACACACCTTTTTTCAAGATACTTGATTGCATTCCCACTCTTCCCAACAATCAGCCAGCATTCCATGCCCACTGATGTATTTTTGTATGTCTCCCTTCATCTGGGGTTTTCTTTTTCTAACAGTGTTGCAGTACTTTTGCAACATTTGATGTTTTCTTCAAGCTTTTACCTCATTCTTTCATTTGGATGATCCCATTTTGCCTGCAGATGTGTCCACATTTGGAGAACTGAGTTCACTACTGATTCATACAATGCTTCCTGCTACTCACCTGTGTGCATGTCCACTTAAACAAACCAAAAGAAGCAAAATTGTGTGCTTTTAATAGTGTGAGTGTGTGTGCTATTTAAATGCCCTTTATAGTTCCACTTCCTCCTCCTCCTTAGCCCATATACTATCAGCATCTTGGTGGCCCAGATGCTGGGTTCTAACTCAGGGTTGAGATGGTGCCTGTTTCGGTACATTCTAGAAGGGGGAGTAGGGTAATTCAAGGCTAGTAGTTGAATTTCTCACCAATTAATCAGCCTGGTTGACTGCCCTTTGTGTCACTATTTGAGAACAACAGTAAGGAACTTGATTATCTGGCTTGCCTTCAAAGGGATTACATTAGAACAAGCGAGCATGAATTCTTTCATGTTTAGAGGATCCCTGTCGTGCATTTTTCCTCCTCCTTCAAGCCTGTTCATTGTCCAAAATGGCATTAGCAATTGTAAAGAGCAATTTGAAGCTATGGTGTTAGGAATTATTCCCTGGGCTTTCCTTTGTTTCAGTAATTGTGCAGCATGTTCCAAATCATTTCAAAAGGTGTCTCCTGAAAGCTGTTTTTGCTGAATTTTAAAACAGCTGCTGTAGAACTTGTGATCAGCTTGACAGGATCATGCAGTGTATGTGTGAGAGAGTGTGTGTGTAAAATGCATTTCTAGATATTCTTTGCTGTGAAAATTAATTAGTGCTTTTACCTTAGTAGGTTGGCGGATGTGTGGGTGCAGAAAAATAGAGGGGGAAATACTGTTAACTCCTTATGCTTCAAGCAGTATTAAGCCTCCATTGATCCTCTTTCTTGTTTATTTGCAGAGAAGGTCTGATTAGCAGGGATGAAATAACAGCTTACTTCATGAGGGCCAGCTCAATCTATTCTAAATTAGGCCTTGGTTTCGCCCACAACTTCCAGGAGACCACTTACCTGAAGCCTACGTTCTGCGACAACTGCGCTGGATTTGTAAGCGTGGATGTTGGGGAGGGGGTAATTTAGCAGTACAATACATCACATGATGTACATAACTGTTACTAGTGCATGCTTCATCATAACAATTCTAGCTTGCTGTTAGTGTGGTTGAATTAAGTCCACCCTCTCCTCATTTAATTGTTGATGAATGCCAGAACAGAGAGTTCTGGAACACAGATTCTGTATGAAGAAGGTTCAACCTGAGGCATCTTTAGTTACAGTTGCAGTGTTAGAAAATATCCCTGGAGAACTGCTGCTGATTAGGGCTGGACTCCCCAGTAGTGTGACTTGCATTGGGCAGTTTCATATATTGAAGATGTTCACATGCAAATGTGGCAGGCTTCCTACCTGGTTGAAGGACATGAAGACAGATGCACAGTTGCTATGGGAGCGATAGAATTTTTAGTTCCACACTTCACCCATGCATATCTGTTCGCTCAGGAGAACATCTTAAGCACAACCCTGGCCTTTCCTCCACACTGAAATGAGGCTGTGTTCATACCCATTATATTGCTTGCCAGCATAGGGCTGCTCTCTGCAGCCCTCTAGAAGAAGCAGGCTTTGTTTCTTATTAAAAAATACTGTGCACACAAGCCTCCATGTCAACAGCTCTACCACGTTAGTACCGTTCTTCCATCATGTTCTTCTTTTGAAAGCATCTACAAGGTGGCTGCATCAGATGTTCTCAGAACATGCTCTGGCACCATATTTTAATTATGATAGCAGTTCTTGTTTTAGAGGGCTTCATATGAAGTCTTGGATACATTATCTTTAGCCCACAGGTTGATCTTGCACTTCTTGCACCACAGACTTTAGCTATACTTGGTCATTGCAATAGTCCCCTATTCAGCTTTGTGTTGTGGAGGGAGACTTTCCCTGAACATGGTGCTTGGAGGAAGACAGGGATGATATGACTTCACCTCTGTTATTCTATTTATGTACTTATTTGAATTGTACCCCTGCTTCCCTTCAATAAAAATGGCACTCAGGGTGGCTTACAGTAGTGAAACAACAATCATAGTAAATGCAATAAATACAATTAGAAACACTATAGCTAAATAAAAACTGCATCAAGCCCAGCAGATCCACTTCCATGTCAAAGAACTGCTTGGACAAAAAGGTCTTTTGTCTATTGGTGGATGGATAACAGGAGAACAGCAGGAAGTTCTGTAGCCTTGGAGTGACCACTGAGAAGGTCCTCTTTTGTGCTGCCACCAAACATACCTCTGAACATAAGGGCCAACTTGTATGTGAGAAGGCAGGCATTAAGATAGCCTGGTCCCAAACCATGTAGCGTATTGTACGAGGTCTTTGAATTCTGCCTGGAAGCAGAGTGGTAGCCAATGAAGTGGTTATAGCAAGGGAGTGATGTGTTTCCTGTAACCATCTCCAGTCAGCAGTCTAGACTAGCTTAAATTCTGAACAGCTTCTGAACATGTATAGCATGTTATGGTTGTCCAGACATGAAGCAGCAAAGGCATGAGCGGCTGTGACCAGATTAGTCATCTTGACTCTCCCTGCATCCCTCTTAGTCTGACACTCTGCCCCAAAGTCCCTGGCCTCTGCAGAGATGCAGACACCTAGGGATGCTTCTGAGTTCCTGATAGTTAGGACAGGAGCTGGTTAAGGAACAGCACCTGATACTGCCAGTGTAATGGAAGCAGCAGAATGAAGTAGAAAAATCAGAATGGATTTCAGATGTGACCTGTGGACTAGCAAATGAAATATTCTCCATCTGTGGCAGAGATTAAATAGAATTTCTAACAAAGAAGACATTAGCATCCCTTAGTTGGGTTTTAGGTGTGGGGCTGGCAAATTTTAATGCATCTCACGGATCAAAATAGGAACCTTGCTTTTGGCAGTTGCATGTACTCTGAAATCTGTAAGGACTGGCTGGTAATCCTTTAAGACAAATAAATATCCAAAGGAGACTATACTGTACTAATGACTTAAAACTTGCTAGGGTTTTGTGGAGGGGAGGAGGTTAAAATGTATTCTTTTAACTGCTCCCCCCCCCAAAAAAATCCTAGGAACCCTTATGCCCCTCACTGGCTTTAGTGATTTGAGGATTTATGGTACAGTCCTATCACCCCCAGAGCAGATGCTTCTCAGCCTGTGAACTTGGGGACTTGTGAATATCCAGTGCAAGATGTGAGGCATGACAGCATTGATTTTGGCTGCTGCCACATCTTATGTCCCACATTTTCTCTAGGTGGCTCTTCTTGGCAGTCAAGGTAGGGGAGAGAAGGATGCTGGAGTACTAATTGGAACTGGCAAAATTCTGTGGCTCCAGGCTCCTCCCCTGCCCCCCTTCCTCCAAGACCCAGTTGCAAACCTGGGTGAGGGGCAGCCAGTGCAGTGCTTTCCATGCCAGCTGCCAGGGGGTGGTGTGGGGGCTTGGGCTTTGGAGTCATGGAAGAATTCTTCCATGGCACTTGGAAGAATGTTGTAGCCTCTCGGGTGATACGCCCTTAGTCTCCTGTCAGTGAGGAATGTTTTTTGACAAAGGAAGCCACGGGCTTTGCAAAAGAGTGGAGGGTGGGCTTCTACTTGGTTGTCTTTGTGGAACAAGGGGTTAACGAAAGTTACAAATCTACTGTCTTAAATTCAGTGCAGTATTATAATATGTCTTTGCTTAAATTTGCAGCTTTGGGGAGTTATTAAACAAGGATATAGGTGCAAAGGTAACAAACATTCTGTTTCAGTTGAAAATTTAACCTTTAAAATGGCTTGTAAAGGAAAACAGTGCTGCAGTTCTACTCAGAGTGCCTTACATATCCATGACATCCTTTTGTTTTGTTTTGAAGGACAAACCTAGGCATTGACTTCTGATAGATGAAGTGTAAATTTGTAGGAATGTGCGGCATCTAGCAAGAACAGCCTAGAAATATTAAAATTCCCACCTTTACCATTTCTTCTTTCCCACCCTTCAAATTTACAACAGTCTAGAAAAGAACAAGGAGAATCAATCCAGGACAAATTTGACAGTTTTCCCCCATCTTTTACACACACATGCACACATACCTGCATGATTATTAAAGGATAGATGATGTATCATTTGGTTAGCAGGTAAACATAAGTAGCATATCATATGAAAGTTCAGAAAGTTTATGTATTGTATTAAAATATGAAAGTGTTACTGCATGTAATAAATAGTTAAGAGTCCAAAACACATATACTAAGGTGGGATGTTGTGCTGGGCTCAGTGGAAAATGCATTAACTTGTGTCGTAAGTTTGTTGTCTTGTGACATTTTCTGGAACTTGCAAAATGTAGAGGGGAAATGTTCTGACTTCAAAACATAGAAGGAAAGGTATTTGTATGAGTGTAGGCTTCTTTGCAATTTTTACCACTCGGCAGATGAGCCATGCTTGTTTTAACTTGTTTGCAGATTGTGGATTGAACTGCCATAAACAATGCAAAGATCTGGTAGTATTTGAATGTAAGAGGAGACCCAAATTAACAGTCTTGGATAACAGCCCTGCCTCGGCCCTTGCATCTAGCCTCTGCCCCATGGGACTCAAAGAACACATGCAAGGTAAGTAGATGTCAGTAAAATGAAGAATTCTGATACTGCAAGAGATCTCCAGTTTTATCTCCAACCCCACATCACCAATTACTGAATTATTCTGTAATTTTGTTTCCTTTTGTGTGAAGACATGTTTATCATGAAGATAGTTGGGATTGACTACTGGTTGTTTTGGAAGGTAGCCTTGCCATTGTCCATACATAAGCCACTGCACACCATCTTGTACGCTTGCTGTATCTGGTAATGCTGCAGCCTGAACTAGCACTTCCTCAAGCAACCTTGGAAATTGGCAGCAAATGAGGCAGGTCAACTCTATTCTGCAAACAAGCGTTTTCCCTTGTTTCTGGTTATATCGGGAACCACTAGCTGCCCATTGTACTAGTGGTAAGTTCCACTAGTGGAAGGACAGTACAGGATACTTCTGGCTCAATCCAAAATGTTCACCATGGTAAGGAGATGAGATGAGACAGTTATTTAGAATAATTTTACTTAAAAGAGCAAATGCTATTTGTAACTGCGAAAAAGTGACCACCTGTCTTACTGGTATCTTTTTCGATCTGGAACAATGACAAACCAAGGGTACTTCTAGAGAGACAGTTCCTAGTGGTTCCCATTAGAAGGTAGGTCTTCTGACCTTTTTGCTTAGTGGATTTTCTGTGTTAAGAAAACATTGTCTGGACCCCCGGTAAAATGTGGTGAAAGTAATAAGGTAATGGTGCATTAAAACACCGTAAGTCTAGAATGTAGCTTAAATAGAGTTACCAGGGAGATGTCACTTTAATTGTATCTATCTGTTGAGAGAATTAGTCATTATAACAGGCTTTATTTTTTCTGTTAAATTCCGATGCCTAGTTAATCCTTTTTTACACAGATCTGCATTATGTTGCAAGGGGTTAGGGTTGTACTTTCACTGTTGGTGGACATGTGTATTTGTCCAGTGCTTCTGGTAGGAGATTGAAAATGAAATTAATGAAATCACTAACCAGTTAATCACTCTAGTTCCAGGTTTTGCTCTACTTAATCCATCTAATGAATTCAACATTAAAGATCTGATTTCTATTGTTGGCTGCCAGACAAGTTTTTTCCCCCCCAAATTGGAAAGGTGATAGAATCCCTAATTTTAGTGAATGGATGAATAGCCATGGTGGGTTGTTGTTTTCTGTGGTTTCTGCAGGGAACATTATTTTTCATAAACTAGCCATACTTGGAGCCCATGGGTGGTTTTAGGGCTGGTCCATACTCATGGTAGCTTCCTGTGCTTCCTGAACCTGCCAGAGCCAGAAATGATTCCTAGAGCTTCCCAACCAGAGGGCAGAAACACCTTCTGCTTCTCCATCCTTTCTTAGCTGACAACTGTCTTTACATTTCTGCAGTTTTCCCATCTATGTTACTTCTGTGCCACGACAGTTGTGTATGTTTCCTGATCCTGATCCTGTTCGCTGCTCTGTAGCCCATATCAAGGTTGAGCAATGGGAGGGAAGCGGCCAGCCAGAAGGGGGTGGAGCCAAAAGCAGCTCAGCAGAAGACCCTTTCTCAGCAAATGTTCCTGTTTTGTGACTGCATGAACTTGCTTTAGAGTAACCTGAAGCAGCCCTTTTAAAAATGTTGCTAACTGGCAGTGGAAATGCCGGTGGAAAAAGGAAATATGGGAATGCTTGGCTAAATATTGAAGAGTCGGAGTTGCATGATGGCTTCATTCTGCATTCATAAGGGGATTAAAATGAATCCCATCTGATGACCTGATGTGGAGTGAGGGAGAGTTTCCCTTGGTAGTCAGCTGTCACAGCAGACCAGTTGTAAAAAGAGACCAAGGTAATGAATGAGGAATTCTGCTGCAAAGGGGCTTGAGATACGTGCTGGAGGGAGCAGGCAGTATGAAGAGGAGGAGGAAAGGCCATAGCAAGCCTGATTTTCTGTTGAAAGGGTTGTTCAGTGAATAACCAACCCGTGGTGCCTTATTCATATGGCAGCTTAGCATGACATGTGAATCACTCAGTCTGCATTGAAGGATCTTGTCTGTCACCAGACTAGGGTTACCATGTCTTTAGAGCTTGCTGAATTGATATTTTAGAATAGGAAAGATTTTGTTTGCATCATGCTCTTGGGCATTGTCAGAACTTACCAGACTTCAATCATTGCTGAAGATGGGTACATAGCAAACTGCCATACACCAAGTCAGGCCTGCTCAGTATTGCCCGCACTGACTGGCAGCAGCTCTCTTCGGTCTCAGGCAGGGGTCCCTCCTACCTGGGAATGCCAAACATTGTCCCTGGTACCTTTTAGGTACAAAGCAATTGCTCTTAGCACAGAGCTGTGGTCCTTTCAGTATCATTCTGATCATGTTGCTGCACTTTGTCATGATTTCAGAGTTATGAGCAACCTTGTGTACCTTTTCTAAAAAGGTAGAATGGCAGGATATGAATATTTTAACAAGTTTCAGTAATCTTTACATTAGGGCCAGTATTATTATGGGGTTGCTCATGGGGTGGTCACAGTGGTGAAACTGCAGTGCACGTGACTGCCAGATTGTACATACAATCCCCACTCAGGGATTGCCGTGTTGTTTAACCCACTCAGATTCCCTGGGTTCACACAACATGATGACCTCATAGTAGGGGTTGCATATGCAGTCTGTGGCTTCCCCAAGCCTGGCCATGATCTCAGTATAATAATCACACTGTTGTTTCTTTGCTTTGCTCCATCAAAAGTGGCAAAAGTGAGCCATGCAGGGTAGGAAGAGTGCAAAGAAAGCAACTTGTCCTGCAACCAGAAGATTTTGCTTACTGTAATCACTGAGGCAGAAGAACATGTAATTCACTCCTGCCACAGAGCTGCTTTCACCTCCCTTGTTCATGTTAACTTTGTGTTCTGTGTTTTTCTCTTGTAGGACTGGAGGAAGGAGGATTTCCACTTCCTAATGGAGAAGTGGTTGAGCAAAATGAAGGGAGCAAAGACAGAACTATTATGCTTATGGGGGTGTCTGCACAAAAGATCTCAGTAAGGCTAAAACCATCTGTGGTGCACAAGAGCACACAGACTGACCTGACACTGGCGCATGGCTTCGGGCTATCTAAACAACAGAGTGATCCAGAAACACCACCTGAAAACAGCCTCCTCCAGCCGCTGCCTCTTCTCCAGCCTCCTCCCCCATCGCCGTGTCCAAGCCCAGTTCTTGGCCGTAAAAAGGCTTATGTGAAATGGGACAACAAGGACTGCAGTCAAAAAGCAAAGGGAGAACCATGTATTCTAAAACCCACATACCAGGAACTAGAGCAGGTACTAAAGCATTTGCTCAGAATTGTACCACCACATACTATATTTCTTCAAGAAAAAGTGAAAGCCGATGTCAAACTAGACTAGTGAGATGAAGGTGCAAAATTTACACTCACCCATAAAGTTCACTGGGTGGCAATCACTGTCTTTCAATCACTGTCTTAGATTTGAAGGAGGCCCGCATCCATATGCTGCTTAGAAGGACATGCTATACATGGAATAATGAAATAAATAAATGCTCTCAAACATCAACCCTACAAACTCAGAGTGCAAAAAAATTATAATAAAGTTCCTGAACTCTACAAGGAATGGTCCAGATCTTTCAATTTAGAATGGGCTTTTTAACAACACGAACAAGCATAATGAAAGTCTACTGCTGTTAATGAATTATATAGCTCAGCATGGCCTGGAGTTTACAAAAGCTGAGCAGGGCTGCGAAGGACAAGACATTTTGGAGGACACCCATTCATATGGTTGCCATAAGTTAGCGAGAGTAGCACATAACAGCAGCATAGCCCAGAAATGTTTCTTCACTTCTATAAGCTCTCTGTGGCCACCCAAAACGATGGTCCAGCCTTGAAGTTCATATTTTAAGGCCGTTTCTCATTAGCACGAGTTGTGACTGTTCAAGTAGACAGAAGAGGTGGGGGGTTTAAGGAAGTGGTGCAAGCTACATGAAGAACACCAGCTAGCTAGAGCAAGCGGGCTTCCACAACCTGGTATTTTGGACTACAACTCACGTTACATCAGGCAACATAGCCAATGGTCAGAGATTATGGAGACTGTAGTTCAAAACATTTCAAAGTCTGAGTTAAAAGTAGTCAGCTGATTAAATCAAATTTGAAAGCTTAGATCATCTGGTGATGGTTTAACTTGATCAAATGTAGCTCATGCTCGTTTTTCTGAAACCTCTTCACTACTCATTAGAAAATGCTGTTTTTAATACTCTTGTAATGTGTATCAGGATACCATACCAAAATAACCGCATAAAATATATAACTTGAACTTACCAATTAAAATGAAATTTTCCTGAAATACCATGTAAAGCTTTAGGGAGAGGATTAAGGATGCACGTCTGTGGTGCACACTTACTTGAGTGTAAGTCTGTGAATTCAGTCCAGTGGGATTCATGTCTGAACAGACATGCTTAGAATTGGGCTGTAAGCAGCCAAATGCCTGGTCTGCACACATCTACTCACAAGTAATATCCATTGAGTCCAGTGGAACTTATTTCAGTTTCAGGTAAGAGTGTGTAGGCTTGAAGCCTGCACTGATTTATAGCTTGCACCCCAGCACAGATATTGTTAAAAGACCAAGAACATCAGAATGGTAAAAATCTAAGTTTGGATTTGCTTGAGTCTGAAAATCCACATGGCTCACAAATTCTGATATTAAATTTCATAAGTGTGTGATTCTGCAAGTATCAAAATGCAGTATCGGAAAAATATTTAAAATGCCTAGATGATTATATGCATATGCTATAGTTTTTGAGTCCTGTGAAAAATGACATCTGTGAAGGAAAATGCTGCCTTTTGATTTGCTGCTTGCAGATATGTTGAAGATATCACACAGCAGCAAGACATGTGAAAGCCAAGCTTGGAAATACTTGGAGCGTATTTTTAAGGAATGCATTTTCCTCACATTTGGATTCATTCTTTGCAAAGCCTTATTACATAGCAAGATGCAAAAAAAGGTCAAAGAATAAAAACCCTTTTTTATCCTTTCCTAGGATTCAGATTACTGAGCATATTAACATTCCCAACAAAGCAAAGTTAGCTGTGAGTTACTCTCCTGTTTAAACATGCAGAACAATTTATCTATTTTCCTAGTTTGCACTGCTTTGGATGCGTCTGGGAAGCCATGTACTTCTAGGCTGGATTGTGTATATTCATTATAGCATTAAGGATTTGAGATATTTGGTAGAGCCATTAATCACCATTCCCTTCCTCCTTTCCTGCAGAATGGGGTGAACACAGTAAACTGAAGAGTCATCTATTGGAACAGATGTGATTCCTTTGCAATCATTTAGAAAATACATTTTGTACGTGCAAGCATGTTTTTGTAACCATGCTCTCAGATCTTTTCTTATGAGATGTAATAGCAATAATTGCTCCCCTCCTATGCAGACAGCTGTATATCTAACGTTCCATTTACTGTTCAAGCTGTTATAATTTGGACATAGCAAATACACAGACCTTGAGAATAAGGTGCCACGGGAGCAAGTGCTGCTAAGTAGGACCTACAAAATGGTTTTAGACCTACAAAATTGAAATGGTTTTTAAACTATATTCTATTCTGATTGCATCAATCTCTATTTTTGTTTAGGAAAGAAATATTCTTACAACAGAAAATGAGGCTTTAAAACTGCGGCTTAAACAGGCACATAAGAAAATTGAATTCCTCAGCATTCGAAGAAACCACATATTGGACAGCGGGGAACATGGCGATGGCTTGTAGTTAAGTCAGGAACTCTTCTTTATAACATGGTAAAGGCAAATGGGCCTTTAATACATTTGAGAATATCCACAATTTAAACAAAGACATTTCCAATGGATATTTCTGTGGATCATAACATTCTCTGTTGACAGATTTGAAATCGTTTGAATAGAAAAGCCATTCTATTTCCCTAGCAGACAATGGCTGAGTTCACACTTCATGACAAGCTACCTTGCATGGTTTCCATGATGTGTGTTTTTTTACCTGGATGTTTCTGACAGTCAATTAATTGGTTTCTACACCAGTGTTCCACTCTCCTCACTCAGTCCTCCCACTATTTGCATGTACTCCATCAACCACCACACCTGAAATTCAATCCCACACTAGATAGATGGAGTAGCTTCTGTAGCAGCTGCCAGTCTTCCTTGGGGACTCTGTGGTAGAACCATGGAAACCATGATGCTGGGTTCAGCCAATCAGGAAAGTCATGGTGAAGGATAAGAATCACAGAACAGGTATCACTTTCTATGTTTCTAATAGCCAAATGTACCATGCTGAAATTCTATGACAAGATTTGGAAGAGATGCAAACCATCCTATGCAAGAAAGCACTATAGCTTGTTGTGCCACGTCACCTGTCCCATGTTTCTAGCCACAGAAAGATAGGACAAGGGTCAGCCAAAAGGCCCATTAATTTTACTTGGATATAATTATGTGTATGGTTGACTCCATCTCTCTGAAACTCATGGGTCTTAACTGATCTGTTTCTTTTATATAAACATAGCTTAGAAGAAAATGCAATGAATACTTTCCTTACCACATTCCCATTAGTTTCACATGTGTAAGCACTGGCTTCATGCTCTCCCACCAAAATAAATGGGACTTGAAAGGGCTTAATGCTTTTGGGTGGATTGTGCTCTAAGATTTAATTGGCAAAAAGTATTTTTATGGACAGTTTTTTCCCATGAGTTATGAGGTTCCTAAATATTCTTATCCATTTTAATTTGGAGCAAAATCTTTCAGAATATTTCTTGGAGAAGCAGTGTTTTTCTTCTGTTCCCATCCATCCATTGCATCTTATGTGAGATTCTTGGTGAGTTCTGCTAGAACGCATACTTTGCTATTTCATGAAGCTTAGTAATGGATTTCATACTTTTAAATTATGAAGGCCATATCTTTAAAATATGGTTAATGAGAACCAATCTGTAGAGAATTTCAAGTTTTTCAAATTCTAATGTATAAAAAATTCAGAAATCACAATGGCTTAGTTAATTTTAAATATATGCAAGCAGGATTTGTTTCTCAGGCTTCTTTAGACAAAGCTTCCTTTCTGTGGATCTTCTCTTCTTGAACAGGGATTTAGAGTGGACCTTGGATCCCATTCTTTATTTCTGCCCAGTGCTGTCTCTGACTCTCTTCCATGTGTGTGTTCTGTCTTCTAGAGGAAGTTGAGATCTTGCTTTGATGTAATTGCAGAATGTCTATTTGAGCATTAACCTTTCCCCATAGTGATTCCTGCTTCAATATGCATGCAAGCCAGAACAGCCATTCCCAATTTCTTTTTGAGCAGGCTCCTGTTCATGAAGTTAATTCCAGAAAAAGCCATCTAATCCACCATCCTTTGGTCCCTGGGAGAGCATCCAAAGTGCCCTAGGATGTCATGACTCCATAGAGAGGTCCAAGCTTACTAGCCTGCCCTCTGTGTCTGTATAAAGGTCTGCAGTCAGCACTCTTGACATTGTAGCATTGACATAAAACAGGGAAAAAGGAGGAGTGTTTGGAGCATGTCACAAAATGCAGGTTTTGCATTCCAGTAATATGTCCCAGAAAGGTGTGTGTGGTGTTGGAGCTCAAGACCTTGGCGCTTATTTCCATACCAATGGAACCAACAGGGATTTTTTTTCTTCATAATGCAATGAAAAAGAAATTACCTTTCCCCCTTCTTGTCTGACAGAGTATAGGAAAAGGTGGTTTCTCTACCTTGAATTCTCCTTTTCCTATCCCATAGCTAGGGATAGCAAATCATGCAAGCTAGACATCTTCAGAGAGGAAATCTTGGCATACATTCATCCACATGCACACATAAATGGTCAGATTTGCATGGCTTTGAAGGAGAAATAAGCCACAGTGTCTTATTTGCGCCCCCCCCCCCCAAGATGCTGATGTATGTTGGGGAGAGGAATATAATCACTCTCTCCAGAGAACTTGGGCAAATTGTCTTGTTGTCATAGGGTTCTGGATTTGCATAGTCATGGAGAGAAATAAGGCACTGTGGCTTGTCTTTTGGTCTGCGATCATGCAAACGTGGCATGTTTACATGTCACTTTTGAGCCACCTTACAGGTAAACCATGATTGGGTTGGTTCTTTGCAGGACTCCCCCCCCCCCCCCCGCCACACATGCCATGCCTGGTTTTCTGTAATTCCCCAACCCTCTCAATTTGCCAGTGGGCTCTGGCACATATTCTGGTGTTCTTTGTGGCAGAACTCCATCTTGTCCCATCTCCCCACTCCATTCACTATCCCATTTTTGTTCACTGACATCTTTTTTCAGAGCCCCCCCCCCCCCAAATATAATTCATGTCATATTGTTAAAGAAATTCCAGTTCCTGAAGGTTGTGTAACTACAACAGTGAAAAGTGGTGGAAAGGAAGGTGCCCTAAAAGTAGGGAGACATTCTCTCTCTCCTTCCTATTAATCCTCAGTTTTAAGAGTAGAATTTAACACTGCTCCCCTTTGCCTTTTTATGGCTCTTATTTGGAGCACTTAGTGCTGTTCCTATGGTTCTCTGACACTTCTAAAATAATGCAGAAATATAAGCAAATACAATGGCTGAGAAATAAATGGAGGGAACGTGTATTTCTTCTTTCTGAAGTAACTGAAAACTCAGTGTTGAAAAGTTTGTGAACATTAAGAATTGATAGTTCAACAGTTACAAGGTGGAATTATTGCCCCTCCGCTCTTTTGGTGTGCAGTTTTGCTGGTCTCAGTCCCCGCCCCCATCAGTACATTGGCAGCTGTCTGCAAATGAGCCTATAGTCCGTCTTGCCTTGTTACCTACTCCCCTCCCTTTGACAGCCAAAACAGACAGCGAAATTGATCAGGCAAGATAACTCTTGCATTGGAGAGCTGTAAGGTTGCACTTGTGATTGAACCAGTACGGTATCTCTAAAGTGCCACTTGAGCACTGAGGGGGGCAGTAACATGAGCAAGATCACAAATAGTGTGTGTGTGTGTGTGGGGGGGGGTTGTTTTTGTTTTCCCTCATCCTGCCTAGTGGCTTGCTGGTGTTCAGACAACATGACAATCATCATGGATCAAACCACACCGGAAGTAGCCGTGCATTACCAGGGTGCATTGTTTCTGAAAGAAGTGGGTCTGGGTGCAGATGACACAATTCACCATTGCTAGTTACCGTAATAGGTTGTCATGCTGTGCAAACAGGTCTTTGTGTTCTATTTCAGGCAGTTTCCTGCTTATTTTCTCACTTGCTGAAGATTCAGGGCATCTGTTAAATGTTTGCCCCTACACAAGATCATCTATCAACAGGAATAATGCAGACCTATCTACAATTTCAAAGCAGCTGAACTCATCCTGGAGATTGAGTGGAATCCTGCACAGCCCACAATAATGATAGCTGGAAGTCTAACTTTTTGGTGGAATTTATCTCCAGGCTACAATCTGAGAAAAAAATCTGGCTGATTTTTTTCCTGGTTTATAGAATTTAGGGTACAAGGTGAGTTAGACACTTAGATTTTAAATGGATGTAATTCAACTCTTGGGGTAGTTCAGCCTGCATTTCTGTTCTGACTCTAAATTGGAAATCTCAAATTGCTTTACACATGAGTGAAAATGTGTAACTTGACTTGTTTTTACTTGCAAGTCTTGCTAGCATTCACTTGAATTGTGGCCTACTATAAAGGCAGCTTACACTCCTATTCCAGCTGTTGTGAAAGACACTTCCTCACTTGCAGTATATGATATCTATATATCTGAATGCTGCTAATGCTGTATAGCAGACGAGTGAAATCCTTCAGGTAGAGTATTTCTATTTACAGGTAATACAGAAAGGACAGGAAGGTTGAAATACAAATTTCCTTGCTCAGCTCTTATATGAATGTGGTATATAGTTCATAGAAGCTATAGAATAGTAGAGTTGGAAAGGGCCAGAAGGCTACCAGATCCAACCCTGCTGCTCCGTACAGCATCCCTCTCAAGTGACTGGCCAATTGCATCTTGAATTCTTCTAGTGTGAAAGATCTCACAACCTCCCTAAGTAGTTGGTTCCATGTTCGCACTGTTCTAACAATCAAGAAGTTATTTCTGATGATCAGATGGATTCTGGCTTCTTGTAACTTGAACGTATTATTCCGTGCCCTGCACTCTGGGATGACTGAGAAGAGATCCTGACCTTCCTTTTTGTGACAGCCTTCAAGTACTATCTTATCTCCACTCAGGGTTCTCTTCGCAAGGCTAAACATGCCAAGTTCTTTCAATCTCACCTCATAGGCCTTTGTTTCCAGTCCCCAGATCATCCTTGGTGCCCTCTGCTGAAACTCTTCCAGCTCATCTGCACCTTTCTTAAACTGCCCAGTTTGCATATTGAGCTCAGTTACAAGAAGTCCAGGTTCAGATTCTGGCTTCAGTACACTAGATGACTTTGGTTATTTATTTCACAGGCCAGCTTTAGGGTGTTCGTGAAGCTAAAATTCTGCTCTTAGAGGATGGTGGGATTAAAATTATTATTTCAGAAGCTGTATTAGTCTCACTTATGGACAAAATTGCACAAGAGATACTGAATGCTACTTTTGTGTTCTCTTCTGAAAACCACTTGAGAACTCCATTCTGTAATTATTTTAGAACTGACAGGTAAATGATGCACTATGAAATGTGGTATCAGAGACTTGTGAACTTTATATAGTTTATATTTATTTGCAGCCTCTTGTTTAGAAATCTGCTTCCAAATAAATTCCATAATTTATTTTTCCAAGAATGATATTATTATTTGCCCAATTAGGGCATCATTTTTAGTTTTGTTCCAGTGTACATGTTTATACACTGTTGTATGTTTACGTTGGAGTCATTTCATTGTTAAATACTGTTTTGTACCTTCACTTGTAAGGCCCAGCATGATGTGCCTGTAAGAATCTTGCAGCTTCTATAACTTAAATGCGTGTGATTCAGAAAGTAGCTCCTGTTCTTACTGTTAAGTAAATTTGATTAGATAATGTAACTATATTTAACTGACTGTAAACACTTGTATGTACTATTTAAAATTGGTCATGCATGATTTTCTAACATTGAACCGAGTTGAAACCTAGAAACTATACACTAAACATAAACATTTCAGGAACTGTAGAAATGAAAACACAAAACAGACACTTGGCCGGTGACACAATAGTTGAAGTGTCTGTTTTTACTTTCCACACACTTGTACTTCTTTGATAATCTTCTGTGCACAGGACAGCTTTCCCCCATAGGATCTTAAAGCATCTAGCCCAGGCTCATATTATTCTATACTAGAGTTGAGGTACCTTTCCCCAGGAAGTCTGCATCCATTTGGGTATAAGTCCTTGGAATCTACATACAAGCTGTGGGCAGGGACAAAGCATACATACATGCATACTTTATTTTCTCCCTCTCTCACCTTTATGTGCTGAGAATCCTCCCTTTGGTGTACACAAGGAAGCAAAGGCAGCTGCCTATGGCAGGAGAACGCTTTTCCTCCAGAGAAAGTTTGCTTTGCTTTTCTGCCCCACACTGAAAAGAATGGCAGGGTGTAGGAAGGGAGGAATCTTTTTTCCACTGTACATCAAAGAACAAAGCTACCTGTCTAACATCTTCACCTTTAAACAGCTGTTGACTGGGAGGTAGGCAGTTGGGAATATGTGTAATGATGGGAAGCTGTGGCTACAGAATCTCCTGAGTCTTAAGTTTTATTACCGGTTTAGCCATGTTTGTCTTCCCAACTCTTCATCAGGGAAATGAGAGAGAACTTGACTAAGAGGGAGGCAGGCAAACACAGTAGTCAACCACAGTAGTCAAGTCTAGGAGACCTCTTTTATCCACATTCTAGGTCCTTAGGTTCTCTACTCTGCTCTAGAGCCTAGTGAAAAAATGAAACAGATTTTTTGCAAGTTTAAGGTGATTGAACTGGATTCTATATGGTGGAAGAGGAGTTGTGAATTTTTGTAGGGCAGTGCCTTTCGTATATAGATAATACCCAGCTACAGTTTCACTGTATCAGTTCTAGGGAAGCAGTGGTGTCTCTGGGTGCTTTAGGAGCTGGAGGAAGACTACCAAAACAAAAATCCTCATTCTAGTTTAAGACAAGTAGTGTCATGGTTAATAGGTCTGGCAGGAAGGCCTACCATGGATATGGTTACTTTGCATAATGAAGCTGTAACAGGCATGCTTCTGTGTCAGGACATTCCAGTAGCCATTAGGGATAGAGAGCATTTTCCACCCATTCCTGGTCCAGTGGTTGCACCACTTCCCAAAAGACAAAGAACTTGCTTCCATCATGCATGGTCAACTAGCCTGGATTGTACTAAGCAATAAGTGGGCTGCCTTTGAAGGCTGCATGCAGATCTCCATTGGCTCAAAAGGCAGTAGCAAGAAGCAGAAAATTTCATGAGCTCTAAGAGAGTTGTACTGGTTTGCCAATTAATTTCTGAAAAGAGTTCAAAGTAACTTTTTAATGATTGAATAACTTGATTATCAGAAAGAACATTTTCATCCATACCTCCACCATGAGGTGTGAGGCTCTGCTCTGAGTTCCATCACTACATCTAGTACCATGAGGCATGAGCAGGCCTAGAGCATATTTGTCTATGTGCTATGCTCACATTTCTGTGAAGTCCTAGTTTTCTGGATGGCTACACTGGACTAAGTCCCATGAAAGTGGTTTACTTTCAGAGTGGTTTATTTCCAAGCAGACTCAGTAACAACCTATGCCTTTATGAGTCCAACGCACTACTGTGGCTTTTCCTCCCCAGCTCATGAGCAGTTAATAGACAGCCTTCACTGCCACTAGCACAGCACAATAAAGGACTGTAAAAATGACTGTTTGTGCCAAGAAAACATAAGTATCAACTTTAATGCCTGAAAATGTATTTGCTACTGCTCAAACCACCCCCATTATGTCTATTCATAGACTGTTCAGGACCAGTGAAAAACGTTAGACGAACATTCACCTGTCTGACAGCAGCAAAATGCACATACCCATTTCAGCTCTCCTATGGTGCCATGCACACAAGCCAAACCTTCACAAATCGGTTGGTTCTGCCAAGACACGAATTTAGACTGATATTGTTTCATACTTGTTACAAAAAGATGAAAGCAGTAATAAAAAAAAAGCAGCAGCAGCAGCCTTAAAAATGTGATGTTGCAGCAGCAATTGTTTGTGGTTTTTTTTTTTTCCCTTAATCTTTCACCTGACAGTGATAGCTGTAGAATTATGACAAACTGGCTTTTAAAATGTACAGGTTGTAAAAGATGACTGAAGTGCAATTTGTTTGATATTTATTAAAATAAAGTTGCACAAGAATTTATTTTTTTACTCTGTAGCAAAACCATTTCTGGTTGTCATTGTCTGATAGATTGGGTGTGTATGACATGACCATGTGAGATGGGTAACTAGCCACAGTGGGTTGCCATTGTGCCTGAATTGATACTGCTTCTTGCAAGACAGCTTAGTTTTTTTGGTGACAAGCCATTCTGACGACCCATAGCCTATTTGATCCACAATACCTTGGCCATGTTCACAGGTAATGCTAAACAGTGCCATGTTGTAACTGTGTGGCATTAACACATTTAGATGGTAACTATTCAGCTCCTTCTTCCCTCTAAATGGTAGAATATATCCCATTAGCCTCTGCAGCTCAGAATCAATCCCAGGTTGCACTACTGCTGCTTGTACAGAGTTGCTAGTACTAAAAGATTCTCTCTAGTCATTAAGTCCATCGTGCACACGTGTGTGCCTCTCTGTGGTCCTTATGCAGTACAATAGCACAAGGGATCGCCTCTTAAGTGCTGCTACACTCAGTTTTCTACAAGTACCCCACAGAACATTCAGGAAATGCTAAGAATGATGTAGGGAGAATTTCCCACTTTGAACTTTATGGGGTTTTTTGTTTAGTTGCTAAGTCATGTCCAACCCTTCACAACCCCATGGACAACATTTCTCCAGGTTCTCCTCTCCTCCACCATCCCTTGGAGTCTGCCAAGAAGCACAAATACTCTGGCTGTTCCCTCTCCTTACTACAAGTATTTTGTCATATCTGATGCCACTACAAGAATTACCAAGGTACTGTGCTATTTCAGCACTCCTAAATCTAAGCAAATCTACTCCATTAAAACAGTATAGTCTCCAGGGTCCAAGAAAAAGCAAGATTTTCAGTAGATGCTGCATTAATGTGAACAAATATTTAAAGCAAAAAATGCAAACATAAAATTGATTTTTCTTAAACTATTTACACAAAAAAATTACAAAATACATCCTTTTGCTTTAAAACATACAAAAATTTATAGATATGTTCAAAAATTAGCCATGAGATTAGTTTATTGCATTTTAAAGAAGTTGACAAACACAACTATATAGGGATCAAATTCTCAGTAACTAGCTGTTTTATTTTGTTTCAAATGTCTTCCAATTTGAAAAGGGTAAGGTATATATTTTTTTAAAAAAGTAACCCTTTAAAATCAACATGGTTCTCCTAATGTTCTCTTCTGGCTTAGAAGCATTTATGCGCTGCTTTCTACACAAGACTATTTAGAACACTATAATATAGAACAGTTAGAATTCTGTTAGGATGTGCATCTACATAACTCTACGAAACAGAAGAAAAACTAATTTTCTCCTGAGGAGGAGCTGCAAAAGAGACTCGGGCATCAAGAGCAAATGACAAGTTCTCCTGTTTATGGCATTAGCTGTTTCCTGACCCTGATTGCTTGTATACTTAAGCAGAAGATTACAAAAGTGGTCTAGCCAAGCCAAAAACCACAGTAGCTAGTCCTGCCCTGCTTCTACCCAATATTTCCTGACAGAAAGGCTGACTGCCTCTTTGGACTTCACTGACTAAAGACAAGCGACAGAACTCCGTGCTTCCTCCCCCTCTTGCTGTGGGGGAAGAAAGGCGGATGGAGGGGGAGAGGCAATTTGGCCCTGTTTGCCTCCGGCTACGTGTGTAACAAATAACCCCAAACTTCTCCCAACTCTCTGGACAATCTCGGGCACCTCTCTAGCTTCAAAGGGCGGCCACTTCTCAATTGCCAACAGGCGGGGCCATCCTCGTCTTGGCAAGCTGATGTATTGAAGCTCGCCTTCAAAAAGCTCAGGTTGCTGTAAGTGAATGACTGAGTTAAGAAAGGAGGGGAATGGCAAAAAAGCAGTAACTTGTTTTTCCCAGGCACATGCATACACATCCTAATCCTGTTTTCCAACTTTTGGTGGAATTAAGTGAACAGAGGAAGAGTTATTATACATAGGGTTCTGGAGTATTTTTTATGGGATATCTGATGATCATTTTTCTTAGCAGGATTCTCACCAAGCTCAACCGTCACACTTGCCATGGTGAGTGCCCTCTTGCAAGTTTAATGTATGAAAAGCCTTCCTCCCAACTCTGAAGCTGCCAAGGTAGGCAAGGAGGTCTAAGCCTACAGGTCACAGAAATCCATACCAATCCTGAAGCTTGAGAGGAAAGCTGGAGAGTTGGAAGACTAGCCTCTGGCTTCCATCCCTGCCCCCAAAAGGGGTGATGCTCCTGCAGTCCCTACTTGATGGAGCATCCAGAGTCCCACCACCAAGTACTGGCTGAAGTTATCAAACCTGCCATTCCTTCCTTCAGGAAGGAGACATGGGGTGAGGTAGGATAGGATCCTTCACACATTATCTGTTCCTCAGCAAAGGGGCTCAGAGTCCTTTTGCCAAGCTGAGGCCAGAATACTCACTCCTCCCTTTCTGCCAGGAAAGAGGGGAAGTTCCTTTGCCATCTGGCAGGGATACTTGTCTCCATCATGCTGGCAGTGAGGAGGCACCGAACAAGCACAGGTTTTGGCTTGGCTGAGAAGTGGATTCCTGTTGCTTTATCATGGTCTCTGAGCATCACACATATGGGTGCTGTGCCTGTATTTGGGAAGATTCTCTCAGCATTAAATGTTTTGGTGGGAAATCCTCCTTCCCCTCCCCCTCGTATAAATAGGCATAGTTCCTGCCCCTCTGTCTACTTTCAAGTGCCATTTGACCGAGTAGACAAATGTGCACACTGTCAGAACTTTAACAAAGCAGGTGCGCAAAAACCTGGAGAGTTGTCTCAAAAAGGAGCGCTGGGACAGAGCCTTGGTGGTGATGAGGTACCACTGAGGTACTTTCCAAAACCTCTGAAACCGTGGCAAAACCTCCCAGTTAGTCTTAATCTCCTAAGAAACTCAAGAAGAGAAAGCATATTAAGACTAAAGAGGCTTGAAAAGAGAGGCACTTGAGAGAGACCAGAGAAAAAATGTAAGCCGCCTTCTCAGTCCGCTCAGTGTGCCTCTGTTTTTGGTTCAGATGGAACTCATGGAATCAACTGCTCCATCGATAAGCGCTCACCTTTGGTACATAACACTCCAAAACTGTCTCTGGGCCTGCATTCAAGCACTAGAACTAAACTGCACAGTGACCTTCACCGAATGGAACCTCCTCTTCCATCTTTAATTGGAGGATGAAATTTGAGATTGTCCAACCCACTCACAGGCGCCATCCAGATCATCACTTCAAGTTCTGTCGGACCCGACTACCAGACCAGACACAAGAGCCTCCAACTCCATGTCCTTATGGCCTACCTTTTTCTGATGTCGCACCTGTTTCTACACATTACTCTGTATATGATCTTGAACCAGACATCCCTTGATCTCAATCTTCAGATAGACTGGCGAAAGGGTGGGAACCCCACCTATTTATACCTGCGGGGTGGAGGGGGAGGCAAAATGCTTAATGTTGAGATAATCTTTCCTAATGTAGGCACTGTGCAGGCGCAGCACCTTTATGTGTGAATGCACTGATGACCACTTGAAGAATGACAGTTACAGGTAAGCAACCTGCCTTTATCATCACAACGAGATGTATAGATGGCCACCTGCCTTTACATGGAAATCTGGTGCAGTGGTCCTGCTTTTAATTTAAGCATACTTTCCATCTAGCATACCTGTCCTTTCTACTTTTTTCATAAATGTTTTAAGAATGGAAGGCAATTTTAGCATAATTTGCTTGTTTTGTTGTTTTCCATGAGAGTCCAATCCATGGAGAGGCAATCCATGAGAGTCCAACTGCTTAGCCTAAATAAATAAATAAATAAATAAATCCACACCTGGTTTGTCACTATATTAAAAACTGAGATGCTCTAGACAGTGTCAAAAATAGTAATTGCTGCTTTAACATTTTTCACTTAATCAAAACATTAAGGGTCACTTCACACGAGACATTTTCTACATGGATATCACCTGCACAGAAACCTGTACATATCCTGTGTGCTCACTAATAATTGTGACAAGTTCAATACCTGTTTATTTTGTGGCTCAGAAATTGTCCACCTATTATGGCCTGTGATCATGTATAAATCAGCATTTAACAAATGCACATGTGCTGCACTTTCATAAATGGAAGTATATCTGTGTTGGAAATCCATCATATGCAAAGTGGTTTACAGTATAAAGAGCAATAGCAATTTATCAATGTGGAGGACCAACTTAATTTTGATATTATGTTGCTTAGTTAGCCATGGTTGATTCTGAGCCTCCTGCTCCTGGTAAACTGTCAGTGCGTGTCAATTACTATTATTAATGGCATTAGTACCTCCGGAAGTTTCCTCCCCTTCCACCATATGCATCTCCATATCCACCTCTCCCACTATAATTGCCATGCCCTTGGAAACTTCCACCACCCCTCCAACCACTGCTGCCACCTCCTCTACCACCACCACCACCCCCCCAGCCACCACCACCACCACCACCTCCGCCTCTCCCTCCTCCCCTACCTCCCCCTCCCCCCCAACCCCCTCTTCCTCCTCTACCACCACCATCCTGCCTCTTCTGCCATGGTGGCATTTCAGGAGGTGGTGGGTCAATTTCTGTTGGTCTGCCGCCACGATCTGGTACTCTTCCCATCAAGACCTATAAATGAAACACACAGTATCTTGTAAGTCATCTCCTTGTGGACCCTTGATCACCAGGCTGTCACAGAATAGATTCAGAAAATTTATTAGTTCTACACAAGTCATATCTGTTCACTTTTAAACACTCAACGCTAGAAAATTAGATTAAATACAACTACGTAATTCTTTAGCTACAAAATCAGAATAGGTACAGAAAGAAAAGATCAATTTCTGAAGAAAAAATATTAGTTTAAGAATACTTTATGCAATGCAAATAATGTGTGGGGCAGTGATGTCTTGAGATTTCATAAAAAAGAGTTAATGTACAAAATACGGTTTTTATAATACATCTCTCTTGGACATGAAGACCTTTTCTACTCTGATCAGCTTATATCCCAAACTATTGCATAGCAGTTCTGCTCTCTGAGTACCTTTTCTTTGCTCCTTAGCAGTGTGAGTATTGGGGTTTTTCATTCACTCATTATGGTTTTCTATCCTGTCCTATTACCTGTTTAGCTTCATCGTACAAATACATCAGCCCATTTCTCATATTACAGTTCCGCAATCATTCCTGACTCCTTGACAAAACTGCCTGTACAACACACATGACTAGAAACATGCATTCACCACAAGTACCTAAATGTTTTCAGGTTAAGAGAAGGACATTTCACATGTATAAAAACAGAAACTAGTGTAAGATCCCTACAGATACAGATACTACTGTAGCATCTGAGAATCCAACCTGCCAGCCACACACTATCTTCCTACACAAGTGCTGCTTGAAAGATTTGAGTTCTAGCATGCTTCCCGTGTTGGCTGGAAACCCACCTGCAGTGAGAATTCATTCAACTGTCATAGTATGAAATGAGGGATGTGTGATATGTCCAGTACAACATAAAACAAGTAAAATGGGTAGGGAGCTTACTATTTATGTTTGTGAGCCGCCCTGAGGCTTCGGTGAATGGGGGCGGCACAGAAATTTTCTAAATAAAATAAAATAAATAAATAAACTATAAAACTACCAGGTATGTGGAAACTCTCTCCTCTTCACAAAAAAAAAAACCTTGAGGGCAAATGTCTGTCTTTACTCCACAGCAACATAGTTCTCTGCACTAAAGGCCCTATGTACAACAGTCCCATCTTTCCCATGCAGTCCCATTTTCATGCCTGGCTTCCTTCCCTTCCTATTCAACCCCCACAACACATGCTTTTCATAACATCTTGACCAATGAAGAGGTCTCAAAAGGTTCCAGGTTTGTGATTGCTGAGCAGGGCCTAATAAACATATTGCCCTTGCATAGCTTTTGCACCAAAAGGTTTTTTCCCTTATAGTTCGTTGTCTGGCTTGTTTCACACTCCATTTTAAAATTCATTGAGCACTTTTCTGCTGGTTTATTTCCTCCACACTGGTGAAGCCAATAAGAAAATGCCTGTCAGTTATTGCACCAGCTCTACAAGTAGCAGTCTTTGAATTCAGGCCTTGTAAACTGTATGCAGATTTTCTCTTGACCGTCAACAAATCTCACAAGAGAAACCACTTCCAACCACAAAGGTAGCTTGCACTGGTTTTACATTTAAGCCTCAATCAGAGAACCAGCCAAGTAAAGACAGTCCTCTATCAGGGTTCGAGGAGCCACATCCAGTCAGAAAAGCTGGTGAAGGGATACTTCATAGATGATACATGGAAATATTTCTTGGCAGGATTCCCATGTAATTGCTCCAGTATCATAAACATTTACAGAAATGTGCAAAAAGCCAGAATGACTCAAACTCCACACACTGTCTTGGAATAACTGTAGCCTACCTCAATCCTAAAGGAAATCAACCCTGACTGTTCTTTAGAAGTACAGATATTGAAGCTGAAGCTGAAATACTTTGGCCACCTAATGAGACCATTAGGACTCATTGGAAAAGACCCTGATTCTGGGAAAGATGAAGGCAAAAGGAAAAGGGGACAGCAAAGATTGAGGTGGCTGGATGGGGTCACTGGTGTGGTGGGCATGGGGCTGGCGGGGGTGGGCTCTGGGAGGCAGTGGAGGACAGGGAGTCTGGTGTGCTGTGGTCCATGGAGTCATGGAGAGTCAGGCATGACTTTGTGACTGAACACACATACCTAAATGGATTGCCATGAAGATACGTATGTGAACTATTAAACATTTCCTACATCTGAAGTTTTGCATAAACACTCACAAGCATGGCCACAACTTGCTAGCTCAAGATAACCCCTAGAACTGCAGTTGCATTACAGGAAAGTATACCTTATTGACTGCACAAATTTCTCGTGTGGATCCACTACTTGTTCTAACGATTTTGGATAAATCTTCTCGAGCGGCTACAAGATGGGCTAATGAAACAGTTGATTTAGGAGAGAGTCCATAGCGCTTGGGTTGATAAATCTTGGCAATATCATCTGTTTTCACCTAAAACAAAATGATTAGACACACTTCATAAACAATACTCTTTATTGTAATAGAACTAATAAACAAAAGTGCGCGCATCTGGAGGTAGATGTTCTACATTTACTGCCCAATCCTGTCCAGTATGCTGCTAATTACTATTTTGCAGTCTATTATCAGATGAAGTCCTAGTGACAAGGGGACAGCTGGCAGGAGAATAACACTTTACCATTTGGATACTAAAGAATGACACTTACCATTTTAATAATGCTTTGTAAAAATCTGTTTACAGAACGGATAAGGACATAAAGGGAATCATGCATGCACCTAGAACTTTATTCTAATTTTTTACTGCAGCAGCTGCCACTACTAAAGAAACAATCTAGTTTTTGAATTATGTGGCAGCATACCTCTTTAGCTGGCAGAACTCATGCAGAGATAATTTCAAAGAAATCAGTTACGTACACAGATCAACTGGATGTACATCTTTGAAGCAGTACGTATAATGTCTAATACACAATTAATTAAAAACGATTATAGAACAGTAGAGTTGGAAGAGGCCAAGAAGGCCATTGAGCCAAACCTCCTGCTCAGTGCAGGACTTCAAGTTAAGCTATCTCTCTTAGATGGCTGCCCAATTGCATCTTGAATACCTCTAGTGTGGGAGGGCTCGCAACCTCACTTAGCAATCGTTTCGATTGTCATACTGTGCTGTTATTTCATGTCCTGCATTCTGGAATGATTGAGAAGAGTTCCTGGTCTTCCTCTTGGTGACAACCTTTCAAGTATTTGAAGAGTTCTATCATTTCTCCCTTCAGTTTTCTTGAAGCTAAACATGCCTAGTTCTTTTAATCTTTTCTACCGTTGTTTCCAGTCCCCAGATCATGCCTGTTGTCCTCCTCTGACGCCTTTCCAGCTTGTCAACAATTTTCTTAAACTGTGGTCCCTGGAACAGGATGCAGTACTCCAAATGAGGCCCAGCCAGTGCTAGGAAAGGGGAACTAGCACTTCACATGTTTGGAAGTGGTATTTCTATTAATGTAGCCGAAATAGTATTTGTCCATTTTGAAGATCCTGAACAATCATTTGATGCATAAGTTAATGATGTTCAATCAAGAGCAAAACTATTAATGAGTGTAGAGGAGAAATGATTAGCTGGCATCCTCTCTCTTTTGTGTAGTACAAAACTACAATATTTACAAGATTGCGCTTCTTCAATAAAACGCATGGAGAACCACAACAGACTCAACCATCAAGAAGTAAACAAAACATGTTTACCTTTGCTCTGTCAGACCACCCAAAGGACTGAACTGTTACATCTAAGCGCTTCATTAACATACGGCGGCGGCATTCATATTCACTACACAGAGTGTTATTGATTTTGTCCAGCCTTTTCTAGAACACAGGGAACACAAAGAAGTTTAACAGTGATATAAAACACAGAGCACTACTCAAAGATGGCAAGAGTGCTTTTAACTGCCTGTTCTACAAACACTGTATTTTAAGTAGGCATATCAAGCTGTACAACACATGATCCATATGAAGACAGAAAAATGAAGAGGCACTCTTAATGATAACAGAAAACATGTATGCCCACTAAGTAGTGAAAAAAATTTACCATTTGATCTGGATTCAAAGCTGTTTTGAGCAGAGGTTTACCCACATGTGTATTTGGAATTTTTGATAAAATGTCCTTAAGCTGAAAAAAGAAACATAGACATACCTTAACATAGAAGTGTTAACAGTGCAAACTTATACATGTTGATTTGACAGGCAAAATATCTTTATTTCAAAAAACATATGCCCTGGGTTGATCAGCAATTGTTTCATTACTGATATTCTGTTTAAATATAGGTGGTGTTCACACATCATTTTAACCCACCCTGTCAAGAGGACAAGGTGGGTTGACTGTTGAGCAAACAGCACACAAGGAGCCCAACAGACAACCAGACTCACTGTGGGTTGTCAGCCTCATCTTTGTTCCTCCTGTGGGGATAGCGCTGGAGGACTGAGTTGTCCCCTACTTCCTGCCATGACAAAAAGTAATCTAGGACTCATTGCTTTTCCTCCCATTTACCCCTTTCCCTCTGAAGATCTCAAGTCAGCTTTCATGATCCCTGTTTCGACAGCTATTTACAAACCCTTCAAATGAAGGGAGGAGAGGTGTTGAAGAGAGGGGAGAGGAGAATGGCATATAATTCCCAGAATACCCTCTATGTGCATGCAAAGTGCCCTAGCACTGGCAACTCACATATTGACAGCTGTCAAGAGAAACCAAATGGAGGAAAGTAATTGGGAGTCTCTTCTGGGCAATGTACCTGGTACTTGCTGCACCATGGCAGCAGCCAGCACTAGGACATCACCCTTATTGAGGCTTCAATTTCATGCAGTTGTGCAATCGCTCCCATTTTTTAAATTAAATATTTACATGCTAAAGATAAACAATAAATAAAGGCACATTCACACTTTTTTGTAAACAAGAAAAGGCTCTGCAACAGACTGCTGGCTTAAGGTGCTGTTTGGGTACTCTAAAGGTGCTGTTAGTGGCTGTCTGAAATGATAACAGGAAAAAAGCTGCAGCAAGCATGTGATAGTTCGCAAGAAGCGAGAGAGCCAGTGACAGCTACTCTGAAGTGCTGCTGGGGCACGCGAGGGACAGTTGGCACTGACTGTCACACAAGAACCACTTGGCAGGAGTGGCAAGGATTTTCTATTGTTCTTGCCAAGGTGTTCTGCAGCCAATATCCCATACCCAACTGATGGGGTTGGTTACCTCAGTCTGGGTACAAGAACCAAAGGACTTCTGGGTGGCTATGTTGCCCATGAACAAGCCACCCTGGGAAAACTGGTTGAGGCAACCCACTGTAGACAGCAACCCACAATAGGTTGTCATGTCATGCAAGGGCAGTTACTTCTGTTGTATTATTTTTCTTTTCATTGTCCACTATGCCAGAATTTGCTTAGACATGGAGTGGTCTACATTAATAATAAATAAGTCCTACTGAATGGAATGGGACTTATTCCCTTGTAAGTGGCTTTTTAGGGATTTGTGACCTGCAGATATGCAATGATTTCTATTTACATATATTGCTCTTGAAAGTAGACAAATGCACTGTACCTTTGATTCTATATTACTTAACGCAAGTGGAATGTCAGAAGATGACGACGATTTTGGTAGACCCAAAGCTTCACAGATCATTTGGATTTCCTGATGGACTTCGTTATTGTTTGTCAAGTGACAACCTTTACCTTGTTTGAACTGCAATATCTGCAGGGACTGAAGTTCTGTACTTAAAAATACTGCGGGGAAGGCAAGGGAGAAGGGGAGCAGAGAGAAAATTAAAGTTTGACAAGAATGTGCGTCTATGTCTTTTTCTATACATAAATATTAGTTCTTTGAAAAGACTGGATGGAATTGAAATGGGAAAATAAATAAGACATGAAGCAAATGGAAAATAAATCAGAAGCAAGATCAAGATCATGACTATTAATATTGCTTTAAATAAAAGCAAACTATTAAAAACTTACCATACATATCCTGTCCTTTTTCTTACACCAACCTCAAAGTGGCTTACACAATTTCCACTTCCTGCTCTCAGTCTTATCCCCACAACTACAACCCTATCAGGTAGGTTGCGCTGAGAGTCTGTGACTGGCCCAACACCACCCAGTTCATTCCATGGTCAAGCAGGGACTAGAACTCAGATCACCTGAGTCCCGGTCCCATGCTCTTAACCACATCACACCAGCTTTCCATGGTTGAAGTGATACAAATTCCTCTTTAGATTAGATAATACTAATTTATTAGCATCCTGTTAAGAAAGCCAGACCTAGAGTCATCTCCCCATAAGAGAACAAGGATATTGGGTCGTACTGATACATTCCTCCTCAATCACTTGGGGAAAGTTTAGAAACTGTTTTAAGCAGTATGGAAATATGGCTAATGCATCTATAAATAAGGGTTTACCATGAACCAGAGTCCACAAGTGGCAACAGTCTCATGCAAAATAGTAACAGATATAAAACCAAATGACTCCCAGCACAGCACAGCCCAGGCCATGCAATGCTTTATCTGTATACATGTGAAAGGGACATGGGGCGGGGGGGGGCAACACTTATGGTCTTGCAGATATTGTTTGGCTGCAATTCCCCTCAACACTAGCCAACATAGCTAACAATTAGGGATCACAGAAGTTGCAATCCAACAACCTCTGGAAAACTACAAATTGTCCAGCCGTGATGTAAAGAAACTGAGCAGTGCAAATCAGCCCTTTGTCTTTCCATCATGGCAGTCAGGCAGCTATTTGCAGACATTAAGCACCATGCCTGGGCCTTTTTCATTCAATGTCTAATTCCTGTGCTCTAGTATCATCCTCTGCCATGCCGTAACTGCAACACATAGAAGTAAATGCAGGGCCTGCATTGCCATAAAAAGGGGAACTCTTCCTGGAAATCTGTATGGTACAAAACAATCATATGCAACACCGCAAAAAGAAACGCTCTAGTAACTTACACAGGACTTTAAGACAATCTTCTTTTTTTTTTAATCGCTCTTTAATTTCTCCTGATACAAGCGCAGGATATGGACAAGCCAGTTCTTTTAAAAAGCCACTCATCTCGAGCTGTAAACTTTCAATATCTTCACCACCTTTAAAAGAATGTGGGTGGGGGAAATATAAATATTTCAAGCCTTCCAATCTGTTTCCAATTCAATCTATTCCCACTTGAAAAATGAGTGGATAACCAGTTTTGGACCTTTAACCCATTCAGGTAAATTTCATAGAGATTAAACCTTTAAATTTTTGAGTAAACTGTCATACAATGTAAACTTTTATAATAGTTATATAATTCAATCAAAATCCCAATGGAAAAAGAATCATACATAACTCAAGCAGGCTATTTGTATGGATAATACCCTCCAAAATAGTCTATCCACTAAAAAAGCAATTAGTTTTAATTCCCAACTATTATTTTTAGAGTTGGGGTGCAGGCACAGAGACACAGTTAAGACTTTTCTCTCATCTCAAAACTGCAGCAAGTCTAATTAAATACATCTGTGGCAGGGCCATGTTTAGAATAGTGTAAGTAGTTCTGATGTGACCCCTCAAAAATGGTATCATGGAGTTGTGAAAGATGCAGAGAGACAAGCAAGAGTATTTCAAGATGACAACAAAAACCACAATTTTTCTTTTTGCTAATATTATAGAAACACTACTCAAGAGCCATACAGTACATTAGCTTCTCCATAATGGTTCACTATGCAGGAGAAATGTCATTCTCCACCTCTTTCTTTTAACTGGGATTCCCACAGCAAGAAGACTTTCAGGGACCAAGTGAAAACCTCTTCTGTTGTTACTGCTTTGAATAGGGAAGAGCCATTTCCCCTTCAAATTGCTGTTTTTGCCAGCCAGCAAACAACTTCTGAATGCCTCTTTACTCATTTTTACTTTGAAATTGCAATGAGTATAAGAAGGGAATCATCATTCCCACCCCACCACCCATACTATAGTTAGAAGGAGCAAGCAGGCACAACTGCTGGACTAAAGTTGTGCATGATACATTTTAACTTAAGAAAATAAAATTAATAAGAGTTTGTATCCTTACACTTCTGTCTTTGCTACAGTTTCAAGACACAAATTAGTTGAAATTGATAAGTCATCCTTTTTTTAAAAAAATTGAAACTATAGTAACAAGAACAGTAGTGAGACTGCTTCAGAAACACCACAGCAAAGGACAATGTTGTAGATTATGTATTGGAGTGACAGTAAGCTAATGGAAAGAAGCAGGTAAGGAGAACACAACTTTACCTCCAACCTATTCATCATCTGAATTGAGATTTAATAACAATATGAAAACTGCAGCAGCTTTGCAACTGAAATCAGGTACATGTTCTTGGGAGAACACCATCTGGATTCTCAAGAATACTGTATATGAATGAATGGTGCCAGTACAGGAGAAAAGGCTAGATTAGAATTGCCCTAAAATGACTAAGGATTTGGAATACCTTTTTGAAAGTATTAACATTCTGTACAGGAATTTTAAAAAGGCTAAGAGAAAGATAAGACATATGATCAGAGAGAGCCAAAAGAGACTTCTCTACATGATACTATAATTCAGAGACACTTGGAACTACCCAAGTGTTCTAACTGCCCATACACTAGGAATCTTCCAGAGTTCTAAACTGCACTGGGAGCCTGCATAAGCAGACCAGTCATCTTATTGCAGATGTCCATTTTCCAGCTCATGGGCTACATGGGAGATTAGAATGCCTGACAGAACCTATAATGAACAAAATTATCACCCAAGGGTTAATAGCCAGAAGTGAAACATTCTATTTTGTGTTCCAGCAACTAAGTTTTTAGGTTCCCAGTCAGTAGTCTACTGAGGAACAAAAAACATCCCTCCATTTTTTTCCTGTTTGAGGCTAGATTCAATTCAATTACTTACAATAAGATTAACAAACAAGGTGATTTTTCCTCTATAATAATATATAGTTTCACAGGTTGCGAAGACTACAAAAATAGCACTGCTCTTTATTGATCACTACTGAAAGTACCCAGATTTGTAGAGGCTGGAAAAGTCCTCATTTTGACACAGTGAAATGTTAAACCCAGGAGTCAGGGTTGGATACATTGTATCCATTCCATATGAGTGAACCCACAACAACTAGTCAGAACCTCTGCTTTGGTGTATGCCTACAGCAGCCAGAGGAACTGTCTGCTCATTATTCTCGGGGGAGTAGCTGTCCCAAAACAGAAGACAGGGTAGCTGTTTAACCGTCCCTGGGCCTACACCCTCCTAAGCTCAAAGTAGCAACTGCGAAATGATGCTCTGGTTATGAAAGTCTACCACCTACTGACTGAAAGGGGTACTGCAAACTTCAAATAGACACATTAACTGAAATTATGTTGTTTCTCAACAGAACTCTGAAGTGCACACCCCCAAGGTCTCCTTGGTATGTATACTAAGTCTCAGGGGCTGAGTGTTACAATCATGGTGCCAACAAGGACACATTTATCATTATTCTAGATAAGTATTATGTTAAGGGTACAACAGCAACATTATGTCAAAAGACTTCCACTGTAATTTTATTTTCAAACTGCAAATCTGAGTTTATTTTCATGACATTTTTATAAATGAATTAGACATTATGTACTAGCTGTGACACACACACACTAGTTTCCAAAAGGTTAAAATCAAGCTTGTGTGCACCGTACCAGCTGTTGCAGAGATGCTTTCTTCCAGGTTGCACAATGGCTGTATTTGGGAACTTAACCAAACACAAAGTTCACAAAAGTCTTGTGAAGCCAGTCCAGTTTCTGCTGCTTTATTAAGGGCATCTTCATCCAGAAGAGGACCTTTGTACCTAGGGAAAAATAAAAAATGCAAAAGCTATAAATTAACCTATACAGAAATTCCATTTAATTCGTTAGTGCTTAATATAAAGAGTTTTAATAAGAGTATGTTTTATTGACAACATAACATGGTATGTAAAGAAGCAAAGTCTGATCTAAAATGCTGTGTTGTAACATGTTGAGTATTGACAGTAAAGGCTTTTTGAAAAATCTTGACATCATCTCTCACTGTTATGCCATTTGTTCTCCCCATGACTTGACTTCTGTAAAAGAAATAAATTAAAGACTCACTCCTATGCATCTTTAGACAGACAAAACTCCCCAAACTCCCAGTATTTCACAGACAGCCTAGTAGTTCTAGCACTTTGTTTTAGGATTATGCCTTTAATCAGTTTAATTATCTAAGTGGGCTGCATGACCCAGTTTTAATTATGTGAATTTAAATCTATCGAATACATTTGTATATGTGAAAATCAATACCTCTCATTTATCTTCATGATTAATTGATTCTGCTGGCTTTTGGTAAAATATAACACCAGGGCAGTGTACAATAGATCAAAAGAGTAAACATTTATTTATTTAATTATTTTAAAACTTTTTAATATTGTCCATTACTGAGGTCTTGGGACAGTTTGACAGTAAATCAGAATAAAACAAAATAAAATGCACCATCCTAATTGTTTCCCAGCAATAAAACCCATATTGAAATGACAATCAGACCTTAAAATATTGGGAAAATAAAAAGGCTTTAGCCTGGCACCGAAAAAAATAAAGTGAGGGTGCCAGGCGGACCTCTCTGAGGAGTGTATTCCATAACTGGGGCACAACTGTAGAGAAAGCCCTTCTCCGGGTAACCACCCTCCTAATCTCCTTCAAGGAGGCCGCAGTTCTTAAGGGACAGGAAGGCACATATGGAAGGAGATGCTCCTTCAGGTAACCAGGTCCTCAGACTTTTAAGAGCTCTATAGGTCATCACCAGCGCCTTAAATTGGGTCCAGACTTCAACTGGTAGCCAGTGTAGGTGGTAAAGGACTGGCATTGTGTGTACATACCTGCAGGTCCTTGTTAACAATCTGGCAGCTCTGTTCTGGGCCATTTTCAAGGGCAGCCCCATGTAGAGTATGTTACAGTAGTCCAACTGAGAAGTTACCAGCGCGTGGGTCATTGCTGCCAGGCACTGCTCATCCAGATAGGGGTGCAGCTGATGGATCAGCCGAAGCCGAAGGAAAGTGCTCCTTGCCATGGCCATCACCTGGGATTCCAGGGACAGTTCTGGGTCAAGGAGCACTTCCAACCTGTGCACCTTGTCCTTTAGGGGGAGTGCAATCCCATCCAGAACAGGTTAGAGACACCTATCTGGGAGGCTGAACTCCCTACCAGCAGGACCTCTGTCCTATCTGAATTAAACCTCAATTTATTGGCCCTCAACCAGTCCATCACCCTGGCCAGGCACCAGTTAAGGACAGTCACTGCCTCACCTGGAATAGATGTAAAAGAGAGGTAAAGTTGGGTGTCATCCGCACACTTGTGACTCTGCAGCCCAAACCTCTGGATGACCTCTCCCAGCAGTTTCATGTAGATGTTAAAGAACATGGGGGATAAAATGGAACCCTGTGGAACTCTAAGGCAAAGTTGCCTTGACACAGAGCCACAATCCCCCAGAACCACCTTCTGGAATCAGCCAGTCAAGTAGTAGAACCACTGCAATGTAGCACCTCCAATCCCCAACTCGGCTACCCTATTCAGAAGAATATGGTATCGAAAACCACTGAGAGGTCCAGGAGAACCAACAGGGACACACTTCCTCTGTCCCTCTCCCTGCACAGGTCATCGTACAGGGTGACCAAGGCAGTTTCCATCCCATAACCAGGCCTGAAATGGATCCAGATGGTCAGGAAACTCTAACATCCAAGAGAGGTTAGAGTTTCCTGGCCACCACCCACTCTAGCACCTTGCCCAAGAACAGGATGTTAGCCACTGGTCTATAATTGGTGGCCATCTCTGGGTCCAGGTTCACCCTCTTCAGAATGAGCCTTCAAGGGGGCAGGGATCTGACCTTCCCTCAGAGAGGTGTTAACTACCTCCTGGACCCAGGTACATATCCTATCCTTAGCTTTGATGAGTAGCCATGAAAGGCAAGGGTCAAGTAAACAAGTGGTGGGCCAGACTAGTCCAAGCACCTTGTCCACATCCTCAGGCCACAACTGAAACTCATCCATCAAAGATGGACCAGATGGCACTCTGGATACTTCCCGTTCAGGTTCCACATCAACTATGGAGTCCAGATCATGACGAATCTGAACAATTTTAACCCTAAAGTACTGGGCAAAGTTGTCACAGTGAGCCACTGATGGTGCAATAGGGTCATTTTTTGGCCCAGAGTGTAACAGGCCCCCCACCACCCAGAAAAGCTCAGCTAGATGGCACTGTGAGGATGCAATGAAAGCAGAGAAGAATTCCTTCTTTGCCGCCCTCACCACCACAGCATAGGCTCAATAATGAGCTCTCAGTTGTGTTCGGTCAGATTCAGCACGGGATTTCCTCCACCTACACTAATGATGTTTTAAAGGGTGAAAAGTTATCATCTTACAAGAGTCTTTCCTTCTGTGTATGAGAGAAAATGCTTTTTTACTGTGGCATTGGCCTATAAGCACTTATATTAAAAATACAGAGCAATCCTAGGACTTCTAGATAGTGAATGGACTTGCATGACAGGACAAGTGACAGGCTTTTAAAAAGTGTTTGGTCTGTCATGTTGTCCATACCCTCTCATAGTCTTTCAGCATGACACCTTTTGGTTTTGAGAAACCACAAACAGAAACTACAGTCAGTTCTATGGCTTTGCAGTATCACAATGTTTGTTGTGGCATTCCAACTGGAAAACGTGAGTGATTGTGGTACCAAGGCCATAACCACAGACACACTTGGCATGAGTGGCTTGCTGCTGCTCTTGCCAAGTGGCTAACCAAAGAGCTGCCATTTGGTGCAACTGTCAGAGGCATCCTGCCCTAGATCTTCTTTGGGGCAGGGGCAGGCTATGAGCTAGTCAGGGCTGGGAGGAGCGCAGCACAGCTCAATTTCCCCACTGCTGCTCCTGCATGAGCAGCAAGAATCCACAGGGTGGTGGTGCCTAGCTGGGGGCTACACACTTCAGCAGATTATCCATGCTGCCCCTCTTGTGTGCGTAGCAGGGCAAGTAGCAGCTGGGCAGCAGCAGGGCCCAGTGGGGAGCTGTGCACCAAAGCAGATTTCGTGACACCACAATGCACATGCCAGAGCGATGCTCCTCACAATGTTCCTTGTGAGCCAGAGGCAGGGGTGAGAAGCAGCTGGGTTGCAGTGATGAGGGAGCACACAATTGAGCTCCCCTTTCTCAATTCACTCTGGCTTGCTAAAAAAAATTCCAAAGCCAGTGTATGTGACATGGGTGCTGGGAGGGGGGTGCCTCTCTGAAAGCCAAAGCAAGAAAGGGCAGAGGCAGGGAATCCGCTACAGTGCATAAGCCCTGACAGGTAAGTGTGCCAAGGAAGGGGAATCAACTGAGTGGTGCTGCTCCTTTCTGCACTGCTGCCCAGCAGATTTCCCACTCTTTTGCCCTAGCATGTATTGGGCAACTCCTCCTGCTTGAGTGGTCCCCTCCTGAGCAGGAGGGAGGGTGCCTGACCAGCTACTTGTACTCTCCACTGTTCTGCTGAGCATAAGCCCTGTTTGTGCTTGAGAGTCACATGTCAAATTTGACTTGTCAAACTGCTTGAAGTCATCAATGAGAGGCATCTCATTCCTCCCTGAAGCAATTTCTGGGGTACTGGCTGGAGGACTTAAAGGGAAGAAAATGGTGGACAGGAAGAGTTACCATGAGCAAGTCATCTTTTAGAGACACCCATGCAAAAACTGATCACAAGTGGAGTGGCTGCTGAGCGGAGGGAAGGAGGGAGAGGGGAAGACTAGCACCACCAAGGCAAACCGTATCCTGGCAGCTCCTCCACTACCTTCCCTCTCGCTCCAATGTGTAAGACAGAGACACAGCCATCTAAGCATTGTGCAGAAAAATGAGAGGTGCAGGCCAACTTCCCCTCTGTACTCCTTCCATGCTGGATAGGATGTCCCTAATCCTTTGAGTTCAGAGGGCTAGGGGCATCCAGATTGGATTACACACTAAACAGAAATGTATAATTAACTTACAAAATAAGATGTTATGTTCATTAAACAAACATTCATTTCTATAATTATAGTGTTCTGTTTCTGTTTTTAACCCTTGCAAAAGTGTGGCCTTTCCATGACAATTTTATTATACTTTTTGAAAACAGAATAAGAAAAATGTTTTAAAATGTTGAACAAATAGATGTTATCTATCTATCAATTTATTTGATTTTTATCCTGCCTTTTTTTCTTTTTTAAAGAATTCAAAGTGGAATACATCCTCCCTCTGCTCTCATTCTTCTTCCCACAACAACAACCCTGAGAGGTAGGTTAGACTGAGAGTCTGTGACTGGCCCAAAGTCACCCAGTTGGCTCCATGGCTAAGCGGAGACTAGAAACCAGATCACCTGAGTCCCAGTCTCATGCTCTTAACCACAACACCACACTGGCTGTCTTTGTTGTTGCTCTTGTAATGTTGTTACTGCAAGGCAATAGTGCATCTGAAAACATCTGAAAACGCAAATGTAAGCTATTGTTATCAAACACATGAATGAAGGCATATGCATTGCAGAAGCACACTCACAAGAAAGCTGTGACTAGTTACAGTTCCCAGTTCCCAGTGACAAACTTAGACTTGCATCTGCAATGTGTGAAGTCACCATTCTGTACATGGCTTTCGGATATACATCAGTGGAAGGAGACACCTGGAACTGCTTCCACTGTACTAAAACTAACTGAAAAGCCCCCATGCACATGTCAGTGTTCCCATAACTATAAAAATAAAGCAACCACTAGCATACACCACACATAATTTTTAAAAACATACATTCAGCACATTTAAAAATATACAGGAGAATTAAATTAAATTAACAAGCAGACAGCTATCTTTTAAAATGAATTTTAGATTTTTATTTTTTCTCTGCTGATTTTATTTGTGCACTGTGTTTTATTCTTTTTATTACCTAATTTCCCTATTTATTTAGTTATTGGATTTTTATCCCACCCCATTAGCCAAAAAAGCTCTCTGGGCAAGTTGTAAATAGGGAGCCTAAGATATAATACAGAAATAATTGTATAAAACCTTATTATTTTGCTTTGGATTATTTCTTAACTATGGTTATCAGTGCTAACACACAGCACTGCCAAAGTTTACACAGGAATGGCTGTGTTTGCAAGATCAACCAGAATGCAAATCAATGCCTGTTAGCTCTGATTGTCACAACTACAACAGATTTTCTTGGGTGGTCATGAAAACTGAAACAAAAGCAATCTAGACATAAAATGACTAGACATATGTGAGCCTCTGGTTCACGCACTGTTTCTCTGTATAGAAACAAGCAAGTGGAAGCCCACCCACACTCACATGTAAGCAATCTGGGAGTGCTTCCATGTACAGCAATCTATAAAAAGAAAGCAACATTCCATCAAGAATAAAATAAAATATCATCTAAAACTCCTCTCCCAAACCCTGTAAAACAAAAGTGGATGTTAAGAGTTTGCAGCTGCAGCATTTGTCCTAAACTTTAACAATAATTCAAGCATCACCACATTGCACTTTTTTTTTACACATGCTCCTTCACTTAGTTGGGCAAATGGCATATGCAAAATTAGTAAAATTGCAAAATTACTAACTCTTCTTGAAATTGCCACCACCATGGAGTTTAACAGCAGGCATGACCAACAATAAAATGTGAATTTCTTTTCTCAGTGGGAAAGCTGCAATCCTATGCAATTAAACATGCTTAAGACAAAAACAAACTTACTTGGAATGTGTCTTAAAGAAAACCAACAGGTTTCCTTTTAGGTAAACTTGATAAATCTAAGGATGCCATTCCTAATTTGTTGCATCCACACATTTTTACTTTTTATCATTTTCATCAATCATTGCCACAAAAACGTCAGTCTTTTGCATAGATTAGCAAAAACGTTAGATATCAAACTGGCACACATTTGAAAGCACAACCGCAGGAACAGGAACAAATCAACACTTGGTATTCTGTGAGAAATCAGATTGTATCTTATCAAATATAATGGAAAAACACAGGAAAAAACGTTTAACAATATAGCTTCTTAATTATTAGTCGCTTTTCTTACATACAGAAAGAACAAAGAACTTGGATTGACCATAAGTAATGCGAAATAATTTTTGAGCTGCTATTTGATTATAAAATTGGCGGGTTCTTCTCAGAAGACATTTTGGACTTGGAAGTTTGTTGTGCTTCTAAATACCCCCTCCCAGACTTTATGAAGGCGCAAAAAGAGGAATTGTGGGCAGCGCTTTTTGAGCCAGGACAGGCGTACTGAGTGGGGCTGCTCGAGAGCAAGCATGGGGGAGATCGCTATTATGCCCGTCTCCTAGGCAACTCAGGGGGTGCCTCACTTTGAACCGGACTGAATACACATCAGCAGTGCTTCTTCCTTGCAGCCGCCAACCCTGCCAACCCCTTCCACAAGCTGCACACCACCCTCCCGCATCTCACCCCAGAGCCTCGAGCGCGTCCAGGATGTCACACTCCATTTTCAGATCCTGCGCCAACTCCTTCATAACCGGTCCACCCGTAGTCTCAGTCCCGCCCTATACTGCAGGCGGCCTGGTGTTCCCTTCAAAAAAGTCCGTCCGCCCCCCGCTGCCCAGCTTTCCGGTTCCCGTGACTTAATGCGTCTCGATGTTACGCCGCCACAGAACCTTCTCCAACTTTCAGATTGAAGAACCCCCTGAACCCTCACTGCAAAAATCCACTTCTGGCTATTTATATTCCTACCACCTTCCTTAACATCGATTTACTCTGTTTCCTAATGCAAAGATCTTCCGCTTACCCAATCCAAACTCAAATGACAGGAAAAAAATGCGGATTTAGCTATATAACTGAAATTGCTTAAGCCAAATTGCGAACAGTATCATTTCACTTTTAAGGAGAAAATGAAATGTTTTCGTACCATTATTTTAAAAGTTGCACGCGCATTTGTCTATATGCTTGCGCGCGCACAGAGGTTTACAACTGCTGGTAAGCCTTGCTCTCCAAGTCAAAACCTGGGATTGCTGGGCCAGGATAGGGCCAAATATTCCCCCCCCCCGTCCCATCCACAGCACAGGAACCAGCGGATGCGTCCAGGCCTCAGATGAGCACGGGCTGGTTCTCTTTCCACCTGCAAGAATTTTTCTCTTCTTTGGGAAAGAGAAGCGGGAGCGAGCTTCCAAAATTCTGCACAAACTCGCCAAACGAACTAGATCATGGCCGGACTGAAGATCTATACGCAGCGGGGAAGGAGGGATTGGTAACACTGGGCATTCAGTAAGGGCACAATTCTATGAAAATATAGACAGATAAAGCGCTTACAACTCCCAGCATGGCCTAGCCATCTGTTTTCTAATTCACCGTCATCATTAGACTTAAGGGCAATTTATAAGTACGAAAACAATATATGAAAACAGAGATGAAAGCAGCAAATAAAACCCTCACATCTAATAACTCCAAAAACAAGTGAATAAAAATGGCTTTACCTGACACCTAAATGCCTGTCAGTGCAAGGTGAACCTCTTTTGGTGGGGTGAGCATTCACTAACTTGGACACCTGAAAAAGCATTCTCTCTTGCTGATCATCTCATGTCAGATGGAGGAGACACATGGAAGCAGATGGAGGAGACACAGAGAATGTGCAAGAGTCCTCAAGTTTCTGCATAGTCTGGTTCACACAATTGCTGTAGTGCACCATGACTTATTTAAAATGTGATAGGTTGTGGTATGTGTTGATGACCATCTTAAATATTCACCCCAAATTATTATGACCTGCAACCCTTGCCTAGGATCAGTTGCAACTCTGGATCACAACAACTCCCCATTGCTGGATCTGTATGTCATAAGAAGCCATGGCAAATTATATTTCATGCATATTCACAATAGCTGCTGGGATATGGCACAAACCATCATAATGTAAAAAAAAAAAAAAAAAGCACAGCAGGATGTGGCAACAGTGCAAACCAGGCCATTGCTTGTCTCTCAGAAATATCTTCTAGTTGCATTTTTGGAATGGATTGAGTGTTCTGTCAGCCCAGCGATAGTTTAGACATGAAGTACTAGAATTCTAAATCACACATTGCTCTTTCTCACTTTGAAGGTGATGAATCCCAGGCTGATTTTCCTGCATTCATTCATTCATTGCATTTTTTCCAGGTTTTTTCTCTTGCAAGGAACCCAAGGAAGCTTAAGTAGTCCTTTCTGTGTTATCCTCATTTCAATGTTGTTTTGTTTTTACAGGTTTTGTATTATATTGTATTATTTTATAGTTTGTTGTATCAAACAGTATAGAACTTAAATAAATAAACCAACAACCACAACCCTGTGGCTGAGACTCAGTGACTGGTCCCCCACTGAATTTCCTGGCTGAACAGGGACATTGAAAATGTCAGGTTCAAAGGAAGTATGGAGTACTGGATATTAGTTCTTCAAGGAACATTTAATTTATGTAGAAGATTGTATAGAAGTGTGTAGAAGATTAAGTTGTCAGTGCCATGTCTTGTTAAAATCTGATACATAGGTATCTCAGTGGTATGACATATATTTGAGCTCTGATTAGATCTCTTAGAATGTAAATGTGGACAACAGAAGTACAAAATAATAATTTAAAGTACAATCTTATGCAAGTGTAAATAGAACCCCCCCACACACCCCTTTTATTTTGTATTTCCCCCCTTATTTTTCAGTATTCTACATGCCAGTAAAAAGTCTAAAATAATTAATGTCTTTAATACACTCACTGGATGGGAAAAATGATAAAATAACTGTTTGCGTATCCTAAATGTCAATTCAGATCAATATAGATTCAGTTCAACATAGAGAAAATTATCATCTTTCTGTGGCATTTTTCTGAGTAAGTATACATTAAGAAACACTGAGCAGAGAATTATCAGCCACAGGAGGGCATCATAGCCATAGTAGCAAAGCAGAAGAAAAGGCCTTTAAAAATCATTTATTTACTTACTTATTTGATTTGTATGTGATCTTTCTACCAGGAAAATGGCTTACATTCATAAATCATACTTAATTAGAAGAGTAATAAAATGTATTAACACAAATTAAAAATACAAAAATAAAAAAAAATCTGAATTAGAATTGCATCTAGCCCAGCAGACCAAAAGTTGAACAAAAAGTTCTTGCTTCCTGGCATAAGGATAGCAGGGATGAAGCAAAGCTAGTTTCACTTGTCAGAGATTTCCACAGCCTGGAAGCAGCCACTGAGAAGGCCTTCTTGGGCATTGCACCACTGAAGAGGAGCAACCTGGAAAGAAGCACTTCTCCTGAAGTTCTTAAGATCTTGGCAGGCTCATATGGGAAACACAGGTGGCCTGGTCCCTAGCCATCCAGCGATTTTAAGGTCATAAACTGCATTTTGAATTATGCTTGGAAATAGATCAGTAGCCAGTAGAGCTGTCATAACAAGAAAATCATGTGCCCCTGTAACTGGCCCTGGTCAATGGTCTAGCTGCAGCATTCTAGGCCAGCTGAAGTTTCTGAAGAATTTTTGAAGGCATCCCCGTGTAGAGCTCTATGGGAGGCCAAACAACGTGTAAGTAAGGCATGGATGAGTGTAGCTAGACCAGCAATTTCTTGGAACAAGTGTAAACGGTGCACTAGCCCCAGTTGTGTAGATGCACTCCAGGCCACTACCAAATCCCAGACATCCAAGTCAAATGTTACTTATTTATTCTGATACCACCCAACAGCTATAGCTTTCTGGGCAGTGCATGACAGTTAATAAAATACAGCAAAATACAATATAAAATGCAAATAACAGTAATTTTAAATCTATTTTCAATGACTTAAACAACTAAGATATGTCATACTAAGGTATGCTAAAAGCAGTTTACAACCGTACCCAACCCTATGTACTATCTGCAGTTGGTAAGTGCCATGACAAAGTGGGTGGTCATAACCTGGCATCAAAAATATTGCACAGTTGGTGTCAAGTAGGCCTTGGTGGGGAGATCATTCCATAATTTGGGAGTTACCACAGATAAGGCCTTCTTGTTGCCACCAGCTGAGCCTCTTCTGGAAGACCTAAGATGTTCAGTGCAGTATCCAAGCAGATTGCAATTCAAAGAGGTGTTCCATCAAGTACTGTGGTCCAAGCCTTGTACAGTTTTATACGTTAGCACCTTGAATTAGGCTTGGAAGCATATAGGCAGCCAATGAAAGATGCCTAGAACTGGTGTTTAGTGTGTGGACCTCCTTGTTCTGCTGATTGGTTTGGCTGCCACATTTTGCATGAGCTGAAGCTTCTAATTGTCTTCAGGGAGAGGCCCATGTACAGCACATTACAGTACTCTAGTTAAAGATTAACAAAGCATAGATGACTGAAGCCAGGCTATCCCTGTACAGATAGAGGTGAAGCTGGGTCATCAGCTGAAGCAGACAGAAGCTGGTCTGTGCCGCCTGGAACTCAAGTGACAAATGTAGGTCAAGAAGCACTCCCAAACTACGAATGTGCTCCTTCAAGGGGAGTTAAACTCCATTCAGAACAGGGTGAGCATTCTCCAAGAAGTCAGAGGAACTGTCCACCAATAGTATCTTAGTCTTTTCAGGATTGAGCTTACTTTGTTAGCCCTCATCCAATCTGTTATAGCAGCCAGACACTGATTTAGCACCTCCACAGACATACCTACTGAATATAAAAAAAGCACATACAAATGACAACATGCTCCAAAACTCCAGATGATACCACTCAGTGGTTTCAAGTAAATGTTGAAGACCATATGGGACAAGACTGACCTCAGAGGAATCCCCTACTGAAGAATCCTCAGGGTTGAGCAGTATTCCCCAAGCACCACTTCTGGAGATGAGCTCCCATATAGGACTAGAACCACTGCAGGGCAGTAGACTCCAGACCCAATTCAGAGAGCTGTTCCAGAAGTATACCATGGTTGATGGAATTGATGCCACTGAGAGATCCAGAAATATCAACATGGTCACTCTACCCTATCTCTTTTCTGATAAAGGTCCTTGTACAGGGTGACCAAACCAGTTTCTGTTTTAAAATCTAGCTTGAACCCCAACTGAAGTGGATCCAGATAATCAGTCTCATCCAAGAGTACCTGGAGCCAGTTAGCCATCACATACTCAAAGACCTTCGCAGGAAAGGAACATTCACCATCAGCCTAAAGTTATTTGGGTCTTCCAGTTCCAGAGAGCGTTTCTTCAGGAGTGCCCTCACCACCACAAGGCTTCATCAGATGACTCCCTCTCATAAAGAGGCATTGATCGTTTCCCTGGCTAGCTGGCTGTTCCTTCCCTGCAAGCTGTTTTAAACCAAAAGAGACAATATAGTCTATAACCAATATAAAAATGGTTACCTGAACCTGTCCAAGTACCTTGTCAGCATCTTCAAGCTGAACCACTGAGATGCATCCAAGAAAATTGGACCAGGCTGTGCTCTGGGAACCTAGCCTGATACAACTGCTGCAAAATTGGCATCCAGTTTTGGTGGATGCAAGAGATTTTATTTTGAAAGAGTTTAGAAAATATATTTCAGTAGGCATCAGGTGGGTCTAAGATGTCTTGGGGGCCAGCATGTAATTCTTGCTGGATGACCATGGGTAGCA